TTGATCAAAGTGGGGGACCAACAGACCAACACTGTTATCCTTTATTCCATGCCGCAGCATAGCTGAAAATTAAGAGAAACTTGCAATGAGTGCGCCTTAATACTTGCTTTAGGTATGCATGGCTAAATAAGCAACAGTCAACATTAAAGTTAAGTAAAATTAATTCCTTAAGTAATATTTAATCTGCGTCATTAGGACGCAGATTAAATATGGGTGTGGGTGTTGTTTGTTCAGATTAGATTGACATGATTTGGCAACATAAATAAACTGTAAGTGAAGGCTGCTTGTGGTGGTGAGAGAAAGAGAATTCAGACTGAAAAGGGCGGGCTGTTTCCAGGAAAAAAGAGATTCACCAACAGTGGCTTAACTTTTACAACCTCTCAGATCCCACTAAGAGTGAGATTAAAAGTGAAAAGTAAGTTGTAAAATAGGACTTTCAAAAGACCCCTTCAAGTCTGAAGCAATAGTAATATCTTACTACTATACAACAATACTGTGTGTATTTCCCAATATGCTCTAATATACTAATTGTACTTTTTGCATTGTGTGACCTTTAATATGTTTTGACCAACACTTTGGTAAATTCAGTATAACATTTCAATGTCACATCCAAAAGCATGTTTCATGTGTGAGAGGTAGGAAGACAGAGCTCTGTGCAAACTGTCAGCTGTTGCTGGCAAGGTTATCTGCTCAGAAGGAGACAAGTGTTTTGTGAATGAAGGCTGAACCGATGTGACACAATGAAACGTTTTGTAATTGCACATTCAGAGACTCTGGCAAAGATATTTTGTACACGCTGTCAGCTGTTTGAGGCATCTTATCAGCATGAAAGGAGTGACAGCCTTTTGAAAATGAAGCTGAATCACTCTCTGCGGAGAGCCTGCTCTGCTGTTATAACACAGTGTAGTAACCCGTCCAAAACATCTGCCTCACAGAGACAAAGGGGGACGGCTGCATGTGTGATTATGAGTGTGCGCTGGGGGGGATGGAGAGGGAAGTCTTGTCAGTGCTGTCCCACAAAAAGAAGATAAAAGTACTAATGGCCTGGGCTTCCTCTAATGGAACGCTGAGCTGTGTGTGTGTGTGTGTGTGTGTGTGTGTTGCACGCACACGTCAACAAAGCTGCATTCAAAACGTCTCTATTCATGGCTGCATTATGGCATTCAGGCCTGGTCTTTTTCTCTTTCTATTTACAGCTCCCTCCCTCCCTATGTACATGTGGGCATCTATTCACATGCACCTTCTGTTTCCAGGCTGCAGAGCTGCACGGATCCATGTGTGGTGCTTCTTTATCGCCCAACAGAGGCTCTCTTCCCGCACCTCATCCCACAGACATATCATATCACGCATCTGTGAATGTGAACAGAGGTTAATTTTTCTGTTTATGCCCTGAAATGATTGACACCATAAATATATGCTATACTTTAACTTTACTTGAATATTTTATGCTACATCTCACTTCTGCTTCATTTCAGAGGGAAACATTGTCCTTTTTACTGCTCTACATTTATTTTATATATATACCAGTTACTACTTTCAGATGAAGATTTTACATTGACATATGACATGCATATTTTTCTTTTTTTTAAAGCACATTGTTAAAGATTAAACCAGTGGTTCCTGCCCTTTTGGCTCATGACCCCTTCAAAAAAGCAGTGTGTTTAGTTGTATTTTTCAGTTTAAAAGCATGCTATTATAAAAACAATGTGTCCAATCCTTTTTCTTCTTTCAGACCCCATTAATTCGACTCCTCAGACTTAATCTTGTGACCCTTTGGAGGGGACCTGAGCCTTATGCTGGGAACCACTAGACCAAAGCCAGTAACAATCTTATAGTGTCATGTACAGTATAATTATGTAACAAGTACAGGGGCCATTTTCCTGTGTGTCTGAGGCAGGGTTATTAGCTCTACTTAAACCAGCTGCAACATAAAATGCTGCTTACATAATCATACATTACTAATTATAATCCAGTAATATAATGTGTTAATGATAATATAAGAGCCATTTTTCAGCATTAAGTAAATGCTGTTGATAATAAGTATGTACTTGTACTTCAGTAAATGAATGGAGGAGACTTTAGGTGTTTACAGGTGTTTACATTCTTCGTCATGTACCATAAGGAATGACAGTATTAAGCAATAGCTCACGTCATGCTGTTGCATTCGCTAATTATATCACAGTTAAGGGGCATTATTTGGCCCATCGTGAAGCAGAAAGTCTGTTACTAGACCTTTACCACTTTTTGAGGCATTTCACTGGCCACTTGGTTTGCTTTAGTTAGCACCGCATGTCGTTTCACAGACGTCTTTTCCGGAGATACCTGCTCAAGGCACTCCTCCGTGGAAAGTCCTCGCAGGAGGTCGAAGTTTATATTTGGAGTATCCAGCTAGCCAGTTTGCTAACGTTACTTTCTAACGTTACTTTGCTGCGTGGTTAAACAAATCTGTGCAAAGGAATTTGACTTAATGGTGGTTGTGCACCCTCATCAAACCGCTACTATGAACCAATCAGATTGCTTGATTTGAGCTACCTGTTTTAAAATGATGAGTAGCCTAATTTGTTCCACTTTAACAGGGGCAACAAAACTGACAGGAGAGGCAGTGTGTATATGTCCATAACACTCCTGACCTAATCAGCAAAAATTATTTAAATCAGCTGTGTAGGTTTACCATGGGGGGTAGGGCCTTTAAATGTGAAATGTTTACAGACATGTCATAGTAGGACTGATAATATTAGAAATGGCTCTGTTCTATTCAAGATTCCCAGCCAGGCTTGACAGTGTGAAAGTGAGCCAGCATGAACAATAACAGCACCGTGAAAGTGAAGCAGCTGAATGGAATTCAACCGTCAGTCAATTTCTTATTTACACCTGTGATTTTCCTGCTGTGACATTTTGATGTATAGTCCTTGAGAATGTCTGTTACAGTATCTATTAGATGTGGTAACAGTCAATACATTGTTAAATTTTAAGTCAATATGGATGAAAAGTCAAGCGTTTGTGTCACTTTCACATTGTCATCTTAAGACCCTATAAATAAAGAGGTACACAAACCACCATAAAGTGGGGATTTTAGTGCAATGCTAAATACATCTAGATAAGCAGCGCCCTCTTCTGGTGAAAACAAGTTAGCATAAAGCATCAGTGAAGTATTCAGAATCAGAATCAGAAGGAGCTTAATGCCAAGTAGTGTTTCACACATACCAGGAATTTGGTGTGGTGATAAGGTGCTACACGTAGACAAACATACAGTCAACATAAATAAATGTAGAAATATATAAATATGGAATGGAAGAACAACGTTGCAGATATATACATGTGCATTATACATTCAGATCCTTTTTTTTTTTTTAAAGATTTTCTTAAGAAGTAGGAGAATTTTCTCAAGCCATAAAGGAACACTTAATCCTTTAGTGTTTTACAAATTCACAAAATACAGAGATTTCACTGGACAGGAAGGGGGTGAAAAACTGTAATCTGAAACAAAATGAGTAAGTAAAGCTAAAGCTGTCAGACAAATGTACTAAAGAGTAAAGTTGCATAAAATTGAAATACAGTAAGTACAGATTTATATAAAATACTTAACATGCACTATATACTCTTTCTATACATTCACCAAACCTCCAGACACCCAGGCTAAAGTGAAAACTTAATAAAAATTGTTCTTCCACCTACATAACCTTTTGATCAGTTTGTTCCCTGCGACAGCCTCTAGACTTACACACACTCATGCTAACACACTTTTCTTGTCATGTGCTGATGCAGTTCAAGGAGTGAGAGATTTTCACAAAGTATTTTTATTTTATTCCATTTCTTGCACAATCTGGTAATTTATCAGTAGGGTGCTTTGTACCAGAGCTGTTTGTTAAAAGCACTTCTGAAATACGCTTGACTTGCTGCCACCTTCCCCACAGAATATTCACAGTATGGGGTAATCAATCAGTCAGTAACACAAGGACTTCATTTGCTGAGTGCATGAATTTATCTAGATGGCATAGATGTACAAATGTCAATAAAAAATATTCTAAATACTTATGAACAGAGAGATGCAAGATGTCCACAACCATAAAGAAATTATTTATTTTCCTTAAATCTATTAATAATTTCTTTATGTATATTACCTGCCTGGGGTTCTCAAAGTGAGTTTCCAGTAGTTTGCAGTAACTACATATGACCACATCATTTAACTTTTATGATTTGGCATTACTATTGTAGTAATCTTATAAAATTATTTCAATTATAGGATTGAACATTATCTTTGATATTTACTTACAGGATGTAACAGAATGAGAGACGGATACATCCAAATATCCGTATCTTAAATGTGGCCAAGATGAAGGAGATGGTTGTGGACTTCAGGACGGGCAGGACTAATTTAAACACCATTTACATCTGGGGAGAAGAGGTGGAGGTGGTTGAGGGCTAGCCTACAGATACCTGGACGGTGAGGAAGAGTACAGAAAGGGACAGAGCAGACTCTACTGCTTGAGGAAGTTTAGATCCTTTAATGTTTCCTGTCTGCTATGTATATTGCCCTGTGTGGTGTTTTATCTTAAAGGAAATTGCACAATTTTTGTTATGTATGGCAACATAGATCACAATTGTTGTTATATTTAATGCACTAATGTTATATACACAGTGGGCCAATAGTAAAGCATCCAAGTGGAATTCTTTTCTCTTTTGGCATTACAATGATATTTGTTTTTTGTTGCAGTTTCTCCATACAGTCTATGAGTTTTGTCTATAATGTTGGTCAGTATCTCTCTACATCACACCACCGTGCACGTGCGTTCACCGTAAAACGTGATGGTGGCTGTCGCATGATGGCTCGGTCTCTACGAGAACCAATAACGACGCGGAATCGGAGTGAACGTGGATATATTAGGGAATAGTGCGCTTTGCAGTTGGTTTGCGGAATTTACTGACAGCAAGGAGTCCAATGGCAGTCCCGCGAAGTGGATTGTGGGCAGCGTAGTCCGACAGCGGAGAGAAGGTCCCTCGTCAAGGGGGTGTCGGTACGCCTTGTACTTCATGTCCCAGAAAACACTGCGCCATGTGCGCTGTGTGTGTATGTGAGGCAGAGAGCGAGAGTGGAAGATTTAGGAATTCGTCTGCAGACTTGGGGCTTCGCTGTTGCAGAAATAATGGTAAGTCCTCAAACGTAGAACAAGCGATTGTTTTTGAAACGAGTGTCCTGGTAACGTTAACTATAAACTAACGCTGCCTTCCCGTTAGTGGTTAACTTAACGTTAACGGAGTTTGCAAAAGACAGCTAGCAGCAGTGATTACTAATAGAAAATGTAACATTAGCTAACCTAAGCTAGCAAATAAGCCACTTTAGCTAGAGAATTATTGCAGTAACGTTTTATGTAAGTGGTTGTTGACAAGATGACGGTTCATATTAAGATCAGAAACTGCATTTGTGGGCCGTCGTTTGTTATAGCTAACACGCGTAAAACTGTAACACTCATGTATCTGTCGTATGAACATGTAGCTAGCTAGGTTAGCTGTCAGTGTTCAACTTTGGTCCGTGTGTGTTCCGCCCCCCTCTTCTGTGTCGAGGCTCCTCTTTACGGGAACCTCTTGGCTTGTGAAAAGAGACAGTGACGCTGGTTGGAGCGGATTAGAGGCCCTGGATAGTTTCATCGGCAGCTTCTGCAGCCTGTTACCATGTGAGCTGACAGTCCGCATACCTTTCTGTTTACATCAGTATGTAGTTGTCCGTGTCAGTGCGTTTTCACTTCTCCCTCTTCCCTTTGTCTCAGTGTTGCTCCCTCCCTGCCTGCCCCACATCATTAAATTGTCGGTAAGACCCGGGGTCAGTGCTGCCTTCAGTCATACAGCTGTTGTGGGTTTTTTTCCTGCTATCTCAGCTGTGTGTATGTCTCAGGAGGGGGCATAGATATGCACATTTGTATAATGTAGAATTTAAAAAGAGAACCAGTTACTTCTGCAAATTTCAGCTTCCTCTGTTCAGCTGTTGTGGCGATTTACATTTCTATCTCACATTTAATTGGCCTAATGTGGCAAACCGTCATATTTAGCTAAACTAAACCATACCAAAAGCAATGTGTATGTCTATTTGAGCTGTTTTGCAGATAATAAATACAGCTTTCGGAGCATAATTATGTTATTTAAATCAAAATATCCTTTGGTACTTATGTAAAAGTCGAAGATAGACAGCATCCATTCTCATTACAACATCTGTGTGTGTGTGTGTGTGTGTGTGTGTGTGTGTGTGTGTGTGTGTGTGTGTGTGTGTGTGTATGTATGTATGCGTATATATATACTTACATACATATATATATTTGTTTTAAACAGCTATGTTACTACCTGACTGAACTGAACCTTGAACTTCCTGTATTCAGCCATTGCTGACTCAATATGAGCTTAGGGTGCGTTCCAGTACCCAAACTACCATACTAACCTATTTAATATGGCAGAAAAATATTTAGTATGTTCCATTACATAGTATGTCATAAATGCACTATACCATAAATACCCCTTCTGCATTGGTTGCATTTTGCAGTATGCACGCCAGCATGCTTTTCTGGCTATTCTCACCCACAATCCTCTGCGCACTATGAGTTTGAGCTGGAGGGTCAAAGTTCAAGGGGAAATATTGTCCTAAATGGATGCATACTGCATGCCAAAGTATTTGCTTTGGAAGGGCAGCTGCAGTTCGTACTAAAAGTACAAACAAAAACAATGCCATTTGAAATGCAGCATCATTTTTTTTTCATGCTTCTACAACCCATAAAAAACAATCCATGTCTTCTTTGCTGTAGCGACTGAAGTGGAGTCATTATGTTTGATTGTGTTGTTGTGCCTGTAGCCAGTAAAGTTAACGTATGTTCATTAACAGTAACTCTACAGTACAAGTTCCACGATGCAGATATTTTTCACTGCTCTACCTCTCATCTTAAGTACTCAGTCTTCGTACTGTAGCCACTGGTAACGTTTAAAACATAAAGCTAACTTATGGCTAGTGTAATGTATTTATCCTGATTTCAGTCAGGCTCCTGCAGTGCTGCTCAGTGGCAAATAACCAGACTTCCTATTGTTTTTGTGCTATGTGTCACAACATATTTCTCCCACTCTCGTGCTCACTCCATCTCTCTGCACCCCTCCTTGTTCTATTTCCCCTTACCAGGACTAGCAGTCCGTATAGCTGCTAGCATTTCCTCGTGCATTTTTGTGGTTTGGGTTATGAGCAGCGGTAAGACGCCTCTCTACAACTGAGACTCCAGAGGAGCAGCAGCAACCAACACAGTATCCATCTACCAGACAGCCTCTCTGCCCTCCTCCCCAGCAGACTCCAGCACGGGGTGGGTGACACTTGTGTGACAGGGAGGGATTTTAATGAAATACCCAGATTATGCTCTGGTTGTATATTGTAATTGTGTTTATATGTTATAGTCTAACCTCCATACTGTCTCTGACTCGTCTGTTTATCCATCCAACCCTTTTTTCTTCACTGCAGAGCAAGATGGAGGCTTCATTTGGACCTGCCTTCTCAGCCGTGGCTGCTGGCGCTAAAGGTGATACACAAATTATCTCCCCCTTTATAAATGCACTCTCCTTTTCTGCAATTAGTTTCTCTTTTTTGTATGAAAGTCACTGAAGTACTGGCATCATTTCTTAGTGAATTTGCCCTCATATGTTTTCAGCAGAAGGGTCGAGTACCTACAAGCAGCATAGAAGAACACCCTCCTCCTCCAGCACTCTTACCTACTCTCCCCGAGATGACGACGATGGAATGGTACACTCCCACACACGCATCATTTTTTATATTTATCTAGCCCAGCCTAATAAATCAAAAATCTCAAAAACATCTATTATTATAAACAAGAATCATTTATACTAAAGATTACTGAAGCTGATTTTTGAAAAAGTCCACACAACCTGAATGGGCGGGTAAAAGTGACATTTATTTTCAAACCTTACATTTCATCTCATAAATTGTGTGTACTATAATGATGGAAATGCACCATATCCCACATATCTGGATGTATTCTGGTAAAAGATTGTGACCTCCTGCTTCCTCCTGTCCCTTCAGCCTCCCATTGGCACTCCTCGGAGGTCGGATTCAGCCATCTCCGTCCGATCTCTCCATTCTGAGTCCAACATGTCTCTGCGCTCCACTTTCTCTCTGCACGAAGAGGAGGAAGACACGGTATGGCGCCCAACACAAAACATATACAACATACATGTCAGCAGACATAAACATATACTCACACAGTCACAAGACAGTTCTGGAGCTGAAACCACACCGCAGGCTGAGCAAATGAACAAATGAGTGTGTGTTTTTGTGCAGGAGCCCCAGGTGTTTGCTGAACAGCCGTCAGTAAAACTGTGCTGCCAGCTATGCTGTAACGTCTTCAAGGACCCCGTCATCACAACATGTGGGGTGAGTTTATGCTGCGTTCCACTCAAAGTCAGAGGTCCGACATCAACGCCAAACATAAACAAAAAACATAGCAGACTGATGTTTCTCTGTCACATGTACACATGATTGAACTCTTGGTGTCATTTAAAAAGATACCAATTTAAGTACGAGTGACATAAATATATGTTACTCGTTAACTGTGTTTTTACCATATAATGGTATGTGTTATTTTAATTAATGCAGGGAAATATGCTTAACATTGCCTTCATTCAAATAATGAGGTAAACTTAATTAAAAGAAAACTCTGTGAGCTTGTTGCAGCAGTTGTGTTATAATAAGATAACAAGATCACTCATAAACTGACTGATAAAATTTCACTGTGACTGTCTTCCTCTTCCCTCAGCACACCTTCTGCAGACGATGTGCCTTGACTTCAGGTGAGACTTAAAATGTGGTGGTGAGAGTTAAAGACCTACATCATGATGAATGTTTTTACTTGTCAAACACAGGTGGTACTAATACCAATAAGACAGCTGTAACTTTATGTTTGTTCTTACAGACAAGTGCCCTGTGGATGCGGCTAAGCTAACGGTTGTGGTGAACAACATTGCGGTAGCCGAGCAGATCGGAGAGCTGTTCATTCACTGTAAATACGGCTGCAGGGCCACAGCCAGCACTGCGGGCGGGGCCACAGCCCCCACCTCCACTGTGGCCGGGAAACCTGGAGCGTACGAGGTGGACCCACTGGGCTGCCCGTTCACCATCAAACTGTCCACACGCAAGTAAGGCCAACAGAAGGACCGATAATGGCTTACTGGGAAGCAACACCACACTGCAAAGCTGTTACTGACTTGTTCTTCTCTCCTCACCCCAACTCTCTGTACCTCTGCAGAGAACATGAGGCCAGTTGTGACTACAGGCCAGTCCGCTGCCCCAACAACCCCTCCTGCCCCCCCCTGCTCACCATGAACCTGGAAGCTCACCTCAAAGAATGTGAGCACATCAAATGTCCACACTCCAAATATGGGTGAGTCCTAAAACACACATACACATTTAAACTTACTTTACTTCACCGTCCTCCATTTCTTATTCAGTATATGACAAATAAAAGAACATGTGTATTTGTATTGCTCACTTGCAATCCTTTTTGTTTGTGTCTTTGTTTTTCAGTATCCTTTTTCTCATCTTGTATCTTTTGAAGTCACTTTCTTCTGTTTAAATACAACACACTCCTCTGCCTCCCACTAATGTGCTTCTTCTTCCCTCCCCGATAGCTGTACGTTCATTGGTAACCAGGACACGTATGAAACACACCTGGAGGTGTGTAAATTTGAGGGTCTGAAGGAGTTTCTGCAGCAGACTGATGACAGGTGAGCAGCCATTCTCAAACTACAAACCTGACAAGTGGAGCTATTGATTGTAAAAAAGACTTGTATAATAAAATATAAATTAACTAAATAATAAACATAAAGACTATATATTCTCACTTGAAGAACTAAGAGTTTAAATATCCAAATATGTGTTAGATTGATTGGTTTCTGTCTGTTTACCAAATGTACCTTTTACAATTTCTACTAACTTAATAAGATTTCTCTTAAATATAATAAACTCGTCATTGTCTCCATCTCTGATCTGTCTGTATGAAATCTCTGACCCTTCACACTGTTTAGATTCCATGAAATGCAGCTGACTCTGGCCCAGAAGGACCAAGACATTGCTTTCCTGCGGTCCATGTTGGGCAAACTATCAGAGAAGTTAGATCAGTTAGAGAAGAACCTGGAGCTCAAATTCGGTAAGATACAGTAGAGAAAGAAGTTCTTCAGTCTTTCTAGCTTATTTGGCAAAACAAACTGCTGATGGATTAATAATATATTGAAATATTGACTCGAGAAAGTTTTATGACCCTAATGAGCCACCACAGCGTCCTTTACTGCCTTTTTCTTGAAAATGATCTGTGTGTGTATTTCAGATGTGCTGGATGAGAACCAGAGTAAACTGAGCGAGGACCTGATGGAATTTCGCAGAGATGCCTCCATGCTTAACGTAAGTGTTTGTGTGCACCTTGCAAAATGACAGAGACACGTGTACGTGGGCATTTTTGTGTGAGAATAAAAGCTTGAATTAGGTAGCCAGAATGGAAAGGACTGGAGTAGGTGTGTTAGTGTAGCAGTTACTTGAGGTTCACACAAGTAGAACAAACCCCCAGCCTATTGTCAATTTATTGTTTCTCTGCAGGACGAGTTGTCCCACATCAATGCCAGGCTCAACATGGGAATCCTGGGCTGTAAGTATCCGCCTTCCTGTCATCCTTTTAAAAATCATTGTTCTCTTCGTTATTCTTCACCTATTTGCGGAGAAGTTTTGAATAATCTAATAATTGAAGTTCTGTTGTTTTAAAATGCAAAATCTAGCTCTGACTGTCTTCTCTGGCCTTTCCTTCCTCTTCTCCCTCACTCCCACTCACATTACCTCACCAACCTCCGTCTGTCTCTTCCTCCCTCCTTTCCTCATCTACCGCTCTGTCCACTTTTTAATCCTCCTGTTTCAGCTTCAATTATACTCCTCTCGTTTAGTTTCCTAATGAAAAACACACATCCAGTCTTACCCATCTCTGTGCCTGTGTAGCATACGACCCCCAGCAGATCTTCAAGTGTAAGGGGACATTTGTTGGCCACCAGGGTCCCGTTTGGTGTCTGTGTGTCTACTCCACTGGAGACTTGCTCTTCTCCGGATCCTCAGATAAGACAATCAAGGTAACATCAACGCACAAGGAAATTAAAAAACTTTCACAACTGTGTGTTTCATTTTCTCGACACCCACTCTTGACGTGGTAGGTAGACCTCAAACTCATGGATGTATTAGTCAAACCAAACTTCCTGGATTTCATCTTCTCCTGGGTATCTGTAGCAACACGCCCACACCACGGTCCTTATGGTCATTTTTATTTTTTTTTTTTTGGAAGAAGCTCTATTTTTTGCCTGAACACTACCCTTTTACTTACTTCTAAAGAGATTCTAAGACTTCCGCCCACAAGCTTGTTTTGTATTGAAAATCTGGGGTTCTAGGTTTGTTTTAGTGCTAATACAGTTACTCGAGTGTTAGAGGACACTTTAAAAGGACATGAACTGAAAAAACCCTTAAATAGCTCCACCTAAAAAGGCAAAGACACAATTCTCACAGAATTTTTTTTTTATTTTTTTTTTAGCCTTTTACAAATATGTTAATCCCCCTCAGGTATGGGACACCTGCACCACCTACAAGTGTCAGAAAACCCTCGAGGGTCATGATGGCATCGTACTGGCGCTGTGTATCCAGGGGTAATAAAATGCACACATGCACATAAGCAGCACACGCTGTGATCATAACATGCAGCTGGGAATGACCAGTACCCCCACAGCGAGACTCAGTGAAATCTTTTTTTGTCTCCATAGAAACAGGCTATACAGTGGTTCTGCAGACTGCACCATCATCGTAAGTAACATTCACCTTCCTGCTTCCTCTTTGTAAGAGGAAACTTGCACCGTTTGATTTGTTTGCATATGCTATAGAAGTTATGTTTATGTCTTTCTGTTGTGTGTGTATGTTGCATAGGTGTGGGACATCCAAACCCTGCAGAAAGTCAATACTATCCGTGCTCATGACAACCCTGTATGTACACTGGTCTCCTCCCACAACATGTTGTTCAGCGGCTCCCTCAAGGCGATTAAGGTACAGATTATGTTGTTTTGTTGCATCATTCACAAAACTTTCTGCACAGGCCTCAGTTTATTTTCCAGTCATTATTTTCCAAGTCAGGTTAAGGTTTATTTAACTTAATTTATTTATTACAACAATGGAAAAAATACAACGAGCATGCAGACCAGCTGATGGATCATTAAAAGAAAGAAACAAATAAAAATAGTTACTGAAAATCATTGAAATCAACAAAGTGTGTTTTCTATTTTTTTTAACTAGTTTCCAACCCCCAAAGCCACTCCCCTAAAACAGTTGTGCAATGAGTGCACAGGCAGAGTGCGTACGGGTAGACCAGCACGTTTGCGTGTGCTTGTGTCAGACCATGTGATTGAATGACTGCTGTCAGGATGTAATGAATCTGAAATAAATTGCCTACCCTGGCTTTAAATAAATATGTTTAGCTGATCCAGCAATGAGCAGGAAAATTGACTGATCCACAGGGTTAATTTTGGCTTGTATAACCGCATAATTAAGAATAATATCATCTTATTGTAACATGTAATGTACAGAAGAGAAACAGGACCTCAAGGCATCTGGTGTACCTCATGAAGCCTTGAGGTACACCAGATGTAAACGTGGAAGGGTCAGACAGGTTATTATTATGAAGGACATGAGTTCTGTATGAAATGAATGAAACCAAACTAAACCACTAAGATCAAGCAGTAAAACTATAGAGGATTGGTCAGTAGCAACCAAAATATAATTTGTGACTTTGGCCAAAGGGGTTTCAGCAGAATGGCGAGCATGGACTCTGGAAAAGGTTGAAAAGTTGCTGCTGCTTAGCCTGACTTCACAGCTGAGATGTGTAGTAGAGAAGAGTGTTAAACTGTAGGAGGAGGAGAAGAGGTAGACAGTCAGGAGCAACGGCTGTAGCCTTGTCCTTGTTACCATGGTTACAAGCTAGCGAGAGAAGGGAAGGGGGTGATTGTGGTGCTGTGTGTGTGTGTGTGTGTGTACGTGTGTGATGTCAGTCCTTTTACACGGGGACTTTCCTTTCTTACCCAACTCCTCTTGGCCTCCTCCCCCTCCCATCACCAGCTTCTCCCTGTTACAGCTCAGTGACATCATGCACTTCACTGTGTCACCCCTGTGTATTCGCCCCAGCTCGCTTCAATGTACAGCATTGTGTCTGTGGGTGTGTCGCGTCGAGCATTTAAAAAGGCATTCAAAGCACATTGTTATTACTCAAGTAATAAGAGTAACACACAAAGTGGTACAGAAAATGTTTTGTGATAGACGTAGTGCCTATATTGTTGGGTTTTGTTTGTATCCACAAGAACTGCAGCTGCTGTTTCTTTTTACTTGCTTGACTCAAAAATCTATTGATCGACTTCAGGCTGTACAGAACTCAGCTGCCAGGCTTTTAACCAGAACAAAGAAATATGATCACATCACCTCTGTTTTAGCTTCTTTACACTGGCAAATTTTATTGATTACTTTTAAAGCTCTTCATGGCCTCTCTCCCTGTTATATCACTAAATCTCTACTGAACTCTGAACTCTTTTAAGTCCCTTCTTGAAACATACTTTTATAGGAAGGCCTTTCCTTATTTTAGTTGATTCTATTTTATTTTGTCATCTTTTCTTTTAACTGTATTTTAATTAAGTGTTTTCTTGCTTTTATCATGTTTAATTATATTTGTACTTGTGAAAGCACTTTGTTACATGGTTTTTAAAAGTGCTCTTTAAATAAAGATTATTATTATTATTATTATTCTTAAATGAACTATTTTTATCAAATCTAGTGTTTTTGTTTGTTTGTTTGTTTGTTTCATTTTTCATCATATCCAAAATGTGTTTGTAGGTGTGGGACATCGTGGGTACGGAGCTGAAGCTGAAGAAGGAGCTGACCGGTCTGAATCACTGGGTTAGAGCACTGGTGGCCTCCCAGAACCACCTGTACAGCGGCTCTTATCAGACCATCAAGGTAGGCGGGGAGATATTATTAGTGGACAGTTAAGCTACGCCCACACATGCTCACTGACGCTCCCTCCCTTAAGGGTTAGGGTTACAATTTTGGATTTATTAATGCACTTTAAAAAGATTTATTAAAAGTTTCTTTTCATATTTTTTTGTTTACATTTATTTAATTATAGGCTGTAGACATTGAGCACCCCCTTTTAGCCTCGTTTTATAACACCACTGCGAAGATTTAACTGTAAGATTGGCTGTCGAATCAAGCTCTTCCTAGCCAACATACTAGTATATCAGAGTTTAGGCTAATGTTAGCAACTCTGCCCTCTTTATTTGGTTTGGTCTTAATTTTACATTCCTGCAACTACAACCTTATGTGAGTGTTATGTTTGCCAAATTGATCAGTCATCCCTCATCCTCAAATCCTTTTCTAAAATACAAACATTAAAGGTTAAATCTAACTACTGTTGTATATTGTTCTATAGCGAACCTTCAAACCATCCAAGGGTTATGATGAATAACATCATTTTTATTTAAAATGCTGGACTATAATACTAGGACTAATTAGCTATACCCTACAAAACAAGAACAGCTGTTTCCTTGTTTCCGTTTCCTCTATGTGGATCATCAGCTGGTGAGGCTGTTTACCTGGGACATGTAGCTTCAGCCTCCATCTTCGAGACCCTGTTCTAAAAGGACCCGGTTCCAACATTTCTCAAAACCCGAAAATCAATAAGGTCCGAGCTTATCGATACTGCTACCGAGACTAGCGGGTCTGCAACGTTATGTCTGGAGTGTCAAATCTGATTTATCTTGAAACGCAATGCCTCCCAGTAACGGGATCAGCTGTGCACACTTATAGGTGATAGATATGTATTTGTCCTTTTGGAAATTCATAGTGTGTCATACAGCAAACATTACAAACAACCAGACAGCTGCTTTACAAACATCACCCGAGTGCTATACAAGTTGGACTAAAGGCTCGTGCAGACTACAAGACTTTCAGCGTCGGCTGATGGCGGTGCCGTTCAGACTACACAACTAACCATCTTGTGATGGCAGTCTTGAAGTCGCTGTGGCGTTCACACTATGTGACTGATCGGTGACATCGGGTCACACACTACACGAGCTGACAGCGGCTCAGTCACACGACGCAGGTATTTTTTCCAGAAAACACGTGAAATGTGAAACGAGCAATCCTGAACACGAAACAGCTGTTGTTGGTCATTATAAAGATGTCGATTATAAAGACAAAGAATATGGGTGAAAGGATGGATTAGCACTAGCAGGTAGCAGGGATTGTCTGAGCTACAGAGAGAGCTGCAGGGGAGTAAAGGTGCAGCTCCCCGACACCCAGTTAACTCGTGACTGTGAGGTTACAACTCACGGCCCAAAAAGGAGAACAAACTCACATGTGTACATTTTCAGCTGAGGACTGCGGCTTACTTTGGCTTCAACTCAACAATCAATCACGATTTCAGTTAAATGCTGAAGTTGCTGTTACCTTGTCTGTGATCCGCTGGCAGAACACCGTCATGCTGTTGCCATGGTGACATAAGTTTCATTTTACGGTGAACAGACGGCAACATTACAGAGTTGTTGTTTTCTTTAGCTTGAAATAATCCCATACTTTGGACGCTGTATTCTTTGTCCCTCGCTATTTTCTCTCTCTTCCTCCACTTTGCAAACAGCTCCATCATAATCATGTCGTGTTCACAGCGTAAGCGGGATGTGCGACAGTAATAAATGTCCGTGCGAAACACTGTGCTGTATAGTTACATGGATTAAACGAAGCATCGATGCAAAGAATTTGCGTCGATGCATTTTATTAATCGATTTTATCGTTTTAATCGATGAATCGTTTCAGCCATAGTAATCAAGTAAGCACATTGAATATTTTCCTCATACCGTGCAGGGCAACTTCATGCCCACTGTGTCTGGTCTTACCAAATAATAGTAAGTATCGATAAAGAATTGGATCATTAAGCAGTCTTAATAAGGGTATCAGTATCAATAAAAATTAAGGATCCCCATCCTTAATTATGCATGTATTTGTATGTATGCAGTTCATAAAACAGATACACGTCACACTACATTGTGCAAGCAGAGAATAACTGCGAGTGTTAGGACCTGAGTTTTTCTATTCAGATGCTTTCAATTCAAGTTTTAGTTTTGAGGTGCAGCAGACTGATGATTTGAAAGTGTTGTGTTTGGCGTGGGTTGCAGGTTTGTTTGCCAGTGACAGATTTGAGTGGGATTTGGAAGGTGGCTGGTTTTAATTTTGGAGTCGGTGCATAAAAATAAAAAGCTGGACGAAGGAAGAAATTCTTCATTCCGGGCCCATGGTTATGTAGAGTTGCCCAAGTGACCGAAAATAAAGCTCCACATGGTTTATGGGAATCATCAGCACAGTTAGAGCACTTCTTCTTTGATGAGTCCTCTTGGTTAATATACATTTAAATACGTGTGTCAAGGCCTTCATGTGTTGTAGCTATTGTTATAGCTGTTACGTGCATCAGCGTCCCCTCAATGTTGTCGCCCTTCCACAGTCTGGAAGTTAATTGGTTGGAGTACAGAGACCTTGTTGCTGTAACTATGGAGGTGTGTGTGTGTGTTGTGAAAGCTGTTTGGACATATTGTGGTCAGTAATTGGGTTCTGTCCTCTCTATGTAGGACTTTGTGTTTCTGTGTGACTGTCATCTTCATTCATTGCCTCACTGGTGTGTGTCCCGCTGTCTTGCTAGAGCTGGTCACGGTGCAGAGAGATAAAGAGAAGGACAGAAAAGATGGCAGAGGGAGACGGACTGGTTGTGGGAATGAGGGACGTCTGTGGAAGAATGAGGAAAGAGAGATGAAAGGACAAAGTAGAATGGGCTCCTTTTTATGGAGCTTATAAGCGGAGCACTTAGTCTCTAGCCAGTACTTAGCCGCAGAAGTCGTTGAAAATGTTTTGCAGCAGTAGCTGCCTGACAAATGTTGGCAATATTCAGTGAAAAATATCCCTTTGAACATTGTCAATTAAATGACTTTGACACAGAGAAACTACAAAGTTCCTAGATGAGTTAACCATAAAAGAATTTTACTTTTTTAAATGCAAGAAAATCACTTCTTTTAGTTTGTGTATTTACTGTTTTGTGGGCTATAATACCTTTTCTTGAATGGAGTATGTTAAAAAAGTCTCAACAACTGAACATGTAAACAATTGCACATCAGTAAATCTTTGCTGCTAGAACATGTGTCCTTTTTATCTGTAAGCTACAACCCCTTAACTCTTCTGCTCAGTGCCAGTAGCATAAGCTTAACCTTGTCATGTATATTTGTAAACGTGTAGCTTGGCTGTGTGTGTGAGAGAGAGAGAGATAATATATCAAAGATAATCATCTCTCCGTCTCTCCACTGCATTTCATGGCCTGTTTTCACTGCTGCATTGTGATTGGCCAGCTAGACTAGCCTGTTAAACTAATGATGGCACCACTGTGTGTTGCCATGGAGATGAAAATGGGCAACTTGTTGAGCGACTCAGTTTTTCCACTGCTGATACCGTCTGTGTGTGTGTGTGTGTGTGTGTGTTTTATTTTTCCCCTCCTAAGATACTCACTCACTCTTCACACGTCCTCTTCCTTCTCATTTAAAGTATCTTTTTTTTTTGTACCCTCCCCCCTCTCTGACTCCCTCTTTTTCTCTCCCTGTCTGTCAGATTTGGGACATCCGGTCTCTGGAGTGTGTTCACGTCCTGCAGACCAGCGGGGGCAGCGTCTACTCCATCGCCGTCACCAACCACCACATTGTCTGTGGCACCTATGAAAACCTCATCCATGTAAGGAACACACACACACACACACACACACACACCCACTCAAGACTGAGTACAATTTTGTGGTTTTTACTTTGTTTTGTTTGTGTCTCATGTGTCTCGCCCTCTCTCGTAAGGCATGAGGTCGTCTCTGGCTTTACATATACTTTTCTTTCTTTCATTTTCTTTTATTCAGATTATATTCCCACTATAAAGACAGAGTTAAATGCACTCAAGACACATTAACACTGGACTAAGATCCATCTTGGACCAGAACGTGCACCAGACCACAATTAAGCAGCCGCTTACTTCAGATATCTTCCAAGCCACAATGCTTTCTTGGACACAGACAGACTTCTGTGACGCTGGTGTTTAAATGACGATGACTGTGAAGATAAAGGGGTTTGTGTCTTCTCTCTAGGTGTGGGACATTGAATCTAAAGAGCAGGTGCGGACCTTGACAGGACATGTGGGAACAGTTTACGCTCTTGCTGTCATCTCCACCCCTGACCAGACCAAAGTGTTCAGCGCCTCCTACGACCGCTCACTCAGGGTGAGGCCTGTGTGTGTGTGTGTCCTTTGTAAGAGTGGAAAGATGAATACACTTAACTCATACACGATGATGTTTTATGTGTTATAACCAGTGTTGGGGTAATGCGTTACAAAGTAATGCGTTACTGTAATCAGATTACGTTTGTCTGTTAAGACAAGTAAGACGCAGTAATGTAACGCATTATTTTGAAAACTTCAGTAATCACATTACAGTTACTAATAACAAAATCGTTGCGTTACTTGCGTATTGGTTCTTCTACTATCCGCATAACGGGAGGAGAGAAAAATAAATCAAACTTCCCTTTTCGTTCGTGTTTGCATAATACTTTTTCAACCTCACTTTTGACTTTAGCGCCTGTTCATGAGGATTCAGAAATGGCAGAGCTGCTAAAGACGTCTTTCGAGGGGTAGAAGTATTTTATTAGTTTCGCTAAAGGACAGCGATACCCGCTTGTGCACCTGTGGCGAGGCTCTATAGCCTGGGCAGTCTTGTGCTGACTCCGATGAGGAACAGGTTGTCTGACGAACGATTTGAGAGACTCCTGCTCATCAGGTATAACCACTCTTTGATAAGCGCATGTCGTAAGAGGGAAAAATCTACTTTAAAGCCATAGTTTGGCAAGTGAGCTACAGTAAGTTTGTTGTGTGGGTTTGGCCTATTAACTGCACAGTTCAAATTATATTACATATGCTATGCAAGTTTTTCCTGTGAAGTCTCACTATCATCTGATATTGCGATGAGGGCCAGTGTCTTATTTTTTTATTTTATATTATTTCCAACAATTTAATATTTGCACTAGATGGTTGGAAGGACAACATATTTTAAGTCATGTTGTATTGTAATGAAATTCATTATTTAAAAAATAAATTGTTCCAATGAAATGCCAATTATAGTTCTAAGCATTATAGAACTGTACTGTAGCCTTGTTCTTCTCTTGACAAATAGTGGGCTGATGTTCACAACTTTGTTGTCAGCTTTGTAATATTAAAGAGCATAAAAGAGAGATCATGTGTATGTTCTCATTATAATAAGGATTTATATTGATCAGGGCATATGAGTCTAACTTGTTATTATGCACCACAGGTGATGTTACGCAGTAATCCAAAAGTAATGTTACTAGTAGTTTAACTAGTTACTTTCAGCAGTGAGTAATCTAGTAAAGTAAGGCATTACTTTAAAAAGAAAAAAAAAGCAACTAGTAATATGTAATTACATTTTTTGAGTAACTACCCCAACACTGGTTATAAGCGTTTAAATAGGAATGATTCAACTTTATTATATTAAAGCATTTTTTGTGTGGCAGTGTCAAAAAGAAACTGTAACATACAGCAGTACACAACATGATAAGTAGTGTGAATTATCTCAGATAAATAAAACATAATTCAAGTCCTCTAGTATTAAGTCATAAACCGCATTAAAAAGATAGCTTGACATCTTGGAAACTACACGTATTTGCTTTCTTGCTGAGAGTTAAGCAAGAAGATTGATACCACTCTACGTCTGTATCATAGACTGAATAAAAGAAGTGGATGTAGTTTTTAACCAGGATGCTAATTTTGGCTAGCTAAAAACAGGCTTAAAATAAAACATAGTTAATGGAAAAATGAACAGCCGACTCCAAATAAGCTTTTTCAACGGCGCTGGTTAAATTTACACAGTGCAGCGGAAACGCCTCTATCCTGATTGACAGGTCGCCATTGTTAGCGACTTGTCAGTCACAAGGTAGTGCCGTCCTAAACTATACTCTGCTTTGTCATCTACTTTCCTCTAAATGGGACCATCATTTACTAAATGAACATCATTTTGTATTGAAGAAGACATGAAACTAGCGATTGAGACCATAAACTCATTAGGAAAGTGTTTACTGAGGTAATTATTCACGTGAGAAGTAGCCTCTTTTTACCATTATTTCTAATGGAAACGGACTTCTTTTTGCAGCCAGAGGAGTCGCCCCCTGCTGGCTGTTAGACAGAATGCAGGTTTTAGTTACTTTGCGTGGCTTCAATTTTCTGTATGTAAATATGAAGTAGCTGCCAGTTAGCTTAGCTTAGCACAGAGACTGGAAGCGAGGAAACTGCTAGCGTTGCTGTGTCCAAAGGTAACAAAGCTCAGAGGTTACACGAGAGAACTCTCTTCGGATTGGGAATAGCGAAAAAGCATCATTAATGTTTAAAATTAGACACAGTTGGTGTGATAAAATGTGCAAGACAACATTTATGTAGCAATAATAAATAGGAAATGTGTTTTCCTAATTTGTCCTTATTGATACAACGATCTTTCATAATTTAGTCCCAGTGCCTGTTTAATACCGGGGTTTTGGTACCCATCCCTAGTTGATATCATGGGAGATGTGTATTTCAATGAGCAAATTCTTCAGAGCAGATGGTAGACGTTACGTTTGTGTGCTTAATTGTTGTGTATGTGTTTTGAAGGTGTGGAGCATGGACAACATGATCTGTACCCAGACCCTGCTGAGACACCAGGGCAGTGTAACAGCCCTTGCCGTCTCCAGAGGGCGCCTCTTCTCTGGAGCGGTCGACAGCACCGTCAAGGTACAACATATCATCCATCCATCAGCTGCTCCACCTGCTGTACATCTCTGTCTGTCTGTCCCTCTATTCTGTCCCTCATGCCATCCAGTGAAGCTGCTGAATGTTCATGCTGCAGGTTCACTAACATCATTCATTACTACAATGTTTTCTAATTTATCTGTCCAGCATCCTTTAGCTCGTCCATCTATTGTTTACATATTATGCGTGTAAGATGTCTGTCCATTCATACCACAGTTATTTTTGTTGTTTTTCAAAGGGAACAGAATCATCAAACAGAACTTTCATGCATCATTGCATCAGCACCTTGCCATCCTAACCTGTTATGTTACTTATTTACAGTATGCCTTCTGAAGTAATTTCTCTCTCTCTTTCAGGTGTGGACATGCTAAACAACTGTTTGCTCTGCAGGAGTCCAGACAACTTCACCTTGATTGTGATTTAACGGCCGCAGACCGATAATAACCACCACCTCACAATCGAGCTGCATCGGAAACTATTGTACTTACTGTTGCTTTTAAAACTTCAAACAAACACTCCGGCGCCTGCACCCGGTCGGCAGGGTCGAGGGTCAACTCGGGGTCACGCTCCTTAGTGACCTCATCACCAGTGCATTATGGGGCAAAAAAAGACAAGCTTGCCTTACAGCTGCGCCAAAACCGACTGGTCGCTGCACCCCTGTAATCACTCTAGATGGTCCTGCCTGCTATCTGCGGACACACCTGCCATTTAAGAACTGTACTGATGATGCATAATGCATACTGTTCAAATAAGTCTAAAGGCTGGGTTCACAAACATAGAGTGAGACCACGCTCTCTCCAAATGTATATGTTACGTTATCCCAGAATGCTCCAGAACAAAGACAAGAATTTTTTTTTTATGCAAATGAAGTATCAGCACTTTTATGTTAGACCATAACTAGAAATTCTCTTTCCACATATTTTTATTTGACGTGTTTATCAAAGTCAAGTCACTTTATTTATACAGCCCATTTAAAAAAATAACAGGAGTAGACCCAAAGAGCTTTCCAAGTACACAGTGTACACAAATACATGTATACATGAACAAAGAGATAGCAAATAGATAACATATACACAACACTAGTACACAAATACACATAAATAAAAGGAATATAGAATACTCTCAAAATCAAAGTAACTAAAGGAAATAAATAAGAACGTCAGATTGAAATTCTGTGAGAGAACGATTAAAATAAACCACATCTCAGCCTGCGACCTACTGTTAAAGTGCACAGTCGAAGGCCGCAGATGAACCCAACAACTGAATTCCAACTTCATATCTTATGATCGGACTTCAGCTTAAAGACTGCATCCTGTTATCCATTGGCTAAACATCTTTTCAGAGTTGGGGTGCTTTTTGGTTCAGCTCAAACAAGCTCTGGTGGTGCGTTTGCCTGTTTGGTTTGGTTCATTTAGGCCGGTGTAAAGAGCTGTCAGTCGAACTCTTGTGTGGTGCAAAGAACTGACCTGAGACCGCCTGATAAGGAGTCCAAGCCCACTGGTGTGGTTTGTTTGTCGTGTGAAAGTGAAGCTGAATGTAGATATATATTGATTGCAGTGAGAATTCCAAAGCTAAATTACTATTAAATTTGTCTTCTGAAACTGATCTCATAAGCAATCTGTACAAGTAGTTTGGTAACCTTTAGAGCTAGCCAGTATATCACGTATGCAGGTCACCATGTGACTGGGATTTTCCCTTCTACATCAGAAAGTGAGTTCAAAGAGGTCGGTTGTGTATTTTGACAGTTCCTGATCAAGAAGTGAGTGAACTGTAGTTATCACACCGTAACTATTGTCTCCTTAACATTACAGTTAAAGATTCCGACCAAATGAACCAAACTATAGGTGTGAAAGCGACCATAGCCTAGTTTTGTGCCCGACAGACTGGTTGATCAGCAGCAAAGATCTGCATGTAGAATCACTCAATACCCTCATACATACATACATACAACACCCTTCAGTCAGAATCTGGCTATGATGAACCCTGAAAAATAAAGTATTCCTGCACTGTCAGACCAGTTAGTGTATTGATAATAACATTGGCTGACTAGCATTCAAACTGGACTGAAGATATTTCCATCTTTTAGCAGACGATGTCCAGAGGCAGAGCGTTCGTCTCTTAACACTGCATTTCAGTTCTAGACAAAGAAACATGACATGGATGCAGTTGCAGCAACACATTTCCTCCCTACTTGTTCATTGTGGTTGTCACCCGGTTGAAACCAGCCTTTATAAAACACCTTTTATTAAGTGAAGACTTTTAAGAGAATGAGAGATCTATAGATTTACTGAGTTTTCTATTAGTGCCATGATAGAGCTGTATTCAGAGCCATTCAACGGTTGTACAGTTATGTAAAATAACAGATAGTGCCGAGCCTGGATGCGGACGTGCCCATGAGGATGACTCACACTGGCCTACACAACAGAGAGGGACAGGGAGTGAGGAAGACTGACTGTGTGTGTGTGTGTGTGTCTGTTATTGCGTATATGTGAGTGTGTTTCAATGAGTGCCATATGTGTGGATGAAAAGTAAGGAAAGATTGTGATGATATGTCTTTTTCTCCCCTCATTCTGCCTCTCCCTCCTCTCCCACACCCTGACCTCTAACCACAACTGGTTAGAATGAACATAACCAGAGATTAACAGTGATTGTTGTTTTATGACTGTATCACTCAATGGACTTAACGTGAAGGCAAGCAGTTGACTATGTGTAATTAACCTTCACACTCCCAGAGGCAAATGCAGAGAACCCATTGAGCTAAATCATGTTTCAGGACCCATATTGGGTTAAAAATATGAAAACAAAGACTAAATATGCCTGGGAGGGAATTTAGACACCTGGGCTAAATTAGGTTTTTACAAATGTTCAGAAGTATTTTGCCTTCTCCTTTGCCTAATGCAGATCTGGCCACTACTTAATGTAGCCTTGGTGAGAAAGATAGTGGGTAAGAGAGGAAGTGTCTTTGCTGACAGTCTCAGTGATTTCTTGTATACTTGTATAATCATGTAAGCCTGATTTGATCATTGATCAATAAAACTGTTGTACACTTTGAGAGCTGTTGATCTGATTTATTTCAACAATGAAACTATCTGTGCAGGTGCATAGCATATGGAAATCATGCATAAAAGTTGTAGTTTTTTACATTGTGTTTGGTTGTTTGATTTATTTTTTATTTTTTAAAGGTTCACTTACTAGCTTTTTCAGGTCTTCCAACTGCATCTAATGGTCTTCATCATTCACTTGTAACCCAAAACACCATCCTTGAAGATACAGTGGTTTCAACCTCCTCCTCATGTACAACCACGCATTATCACATGAAACAAAGTTTCACAAATCATGAGATGAAGACCATGAGATCGAAAGCTGTGGACAATGCTCAAGTGGAACTTCAGTTCAGTCTTTATTTTTCGTTTTTAGGTCAAGCATATGGAAAGATAATCTGTGTATTCATGATGGAATATTAACTAAATATTAAGCAACTATTAGTTAAACTGGAAATTTCTGATAACTGGATAAAAAGTATCTGTATAAATCAGGAATAACGGAAAACGTAATGAAGAGACTGAGTCAATGTAGCTGTGTTTCAAGAGGTCACATGCTAAAAAAGTTGGGAACAACTGACCTATAGGTTTGTTTACCCACTCAGCAGTGCTAAAGATGTTGGTGTGGTGTGATAAAGTGACCTCATTGCATACCCTCTGTTCTCCAAATATTGATAAAGGTGTAAGTATTCCCACCCTAAAATGTGTAATAACAATACAGTAGCGTTATGGTGTCAATTTTTTTGGTCACTTTAAAAGGAATAATAAATGTTTTGACTTTTGAGTGCTGGATTGCAGTCATGTGCTGCCCCCAACAGGAGGACCTTGAAAATACAGATTCCACGTCACAACACGAAGGGAGGCTCAGGTGCAGTTTGTATAGAACATTTATTTATTCAGAGCAGATGGCCATAAGATGCAGTCACTGCAAGCACACCACTGTCCAGTCACTACAGCACACACACACACTCACGCACACAGGTTTCATACAGTCAATAGCAGAGCAACACATAGCACACACACGGCCTCTCACAAGCACTCACATACAGTCAACTGCAGAGCAGAGGAGACACCAGTCCGGTGTCCGTTCAGATAAGCACAGGCGGAAAATCAAATAACAGCTTGGCTTTTTCTTTTGTTAAGAAAGAAAATGAACAGTACTTTTTGATCCACAACGTATTTGACCATCTGTGTTTTTTTCACTGTCTGAAGTATTTCACCTTTGTAGCCCGCAATCCCCACCCGTCCAAACACACAGTAATGCCTACAGCATGGGAGATGACCAAAATGAGACCCAAGGAAGGAGGAGAAAAGGGCAAAGTGTAGCTTTAACATTTCAGGGCCATGTCTAAAAGCAAGAATGTGTAGCTGTAAGCTGCAGCTGTGAGGGAGAGGAAGCATGTCTGCAATGTTGAAGGAAGTGCAAGTTGACCTTTGACCTCTGTACAGCCTCAACCATCTGATTAGGGGAAGTTGCTATGAAAGTAATGTTACCATGCACTCACGTGCTACAAAATAGTTTAGACAAACTTAATTTCTGCTTGGGCTTTAACATGAACATCAGGTTAGAAAAATCAGAGAGCAAATTGGTACCTGTTTTCTGAAGGCAATGATGGAATTTGATCTGGTCAGATGTAATCACACATACACTTGCATTTATCAAACATCTGGCAACAGCTGGACCAACTATCCAAACTGACATTTTACTGATTAGTCTTCATTACCGTTATGTTTTTAGTTGTACAGTTAAAGGTAGTAGTTAAACATTTTGGGGAAATCTGCTTAAATTTGCTTTCTTGCAGAGAGTTATACAAGAAGATTTACACCCCATACAGGTCTATAAGCTATATGTGAAGCTAACACTAGCAGATGGTTAGCATAGCTTGGAACAAAGACTGGAAACACAAAGCACCTGGCCTAGCTCTGTCAAAATGTAATAAACAACCACAACATGTGTTTTGTTTTTTTAACAAAGATAACAAGATATAACACTGTACATTTGTGTGCTAGTCTTCAGTCTTTATGCTAGGCTATGCTAAACGACTGCTGGTTGTAACTTCATATTTACTGTACGGTGAGAGTGTCTTCTCATATAATTTTCAAAAAGACAGCAAATATTTCCCAAAATGTTGCTCCATTGCTACTTTAATGTTCTGACAAAATAGCACATGAGCGCAAGCATGTGAACGCAGTGGCTATTTTACGGTCTTATTGAAATTAGTTAGTTTGTAATTGTGACGTGGGAGAAAGACGTCTCTTGTGGTTACCTGGGTTTTGTTTAGGTCTGATGATTTTATGTTTCAAATATCACATCTCAGTGGTGATGGTGGGGGGGCACTTACTTTTCTACTATCACATCTTAAATAATAAAACAGAAGAGAGAGCCCCTTATATTGTACATACCCATCTACTGTATTGTAGTCCAAAATCACAAAATTGTAAACCAAAATCACAAAGCAAGGCACATGTTTCAAAGAAAAAGAAACCGAACATTGCATTGAAAATCATACAAAAATAATAAATCGGAACAACAAGAATTGCTTGTATTATACAGATCGCCACACCTTGACACATGTACACAAAAAATTAAAAAACAAACACTTCCTGGAAATACCCCAACATGGTATTCATCAGCTCGGACCACTTAAGCATGGAGAAGCAAACTGATTCAACACTCAATTAGTTCTGTTTACTTTGAAAAATAGTCTTCAGGATGACACACACTTCATAAATACACTTCTTTTTTTTTGCAAATATCCATATATATAATCTCTATGTGATCATAATTTAAATACCACAACTATTCTCTGAATTATTATTCATTTATATATTGAGTGTGGCTGCTATGGGACTGTGAAACCTAGGTTTTCTTAATGGACTGAGGTGCAAATGAAGTGTTGCACCTCGCGGGATGCCGTTTCTGGTTTGTTTGAGGAACTTAAAGGGGCACTCCATCATTTTTACGGGTTGATAGTCCTAGTTAGTACAGCTCAGCTTTTAAAAATAGTTTTATTAATGTACTTTGAGGCCCTGAAGGAGTTGTGTCAGATCTGTAAAAAGAACCCTGATGATGTCCTAGTGATGTCATCAAGGTTATTTCAGCAAGGGCTTACTTTATAACCAAAAGCAGGCGTTACAAAATTAAGTATAGGATCCAGTGCTTTTGGAGCTTGACTCACGCCAGAGCCCAGCTTTATGGAAGTTCAATACTAAATCACTGCAGTGCCCCTTTAAACGTTGCACTGAAACAAACCATCCAGCATCACAGATCTCTGCCTCCGCTTGCTCCATCTTAGCAGAGACAGTTTTTTTATCCCATCAACACGCTGTTGTGGCAACACACTGTATAGTAACCATGGTGATGCTGATGAGGATGGGGAGGGTGATGATGTAGATTGTCATGGCAACACGGGGTGGGTGGTTAGGACAGTGGGACCAGAGAGATAAAGATGCGAAGGTGTCAGGAAGGGTTTCAGTCCTATTGTAAATTACTTTCTATTTCCTGGTGAAAAAAAAGAGAAAGTTATGGATCTTAAAAGTATGTGTTAATATAGGGTCTTAAAAGTAGGGATGCACCAGTATCGGGGCAGATTCTGACCTTATTGACTGGATCCAGTATTGCCCGGAAATAACTAATCCACATTAAAGTTATTTCATCAATGTTAGGAGACATCTTGTGTTCATTAGTTAAGTACTAGTGAGAATAAATATATTAGTATATATTCATAGTTTCTGGATTTTAAAGATGTAATTAAGATGTTTTAAGTAGGTAAATTAACTTTTTTTGTGGAAAAAACATTAAACACCAATATATTATTCAAATCAGAGTATTTTATTTATGTCTTAAAAATTTGTCCCGAGGGGCTCTTTAAATTTTAAAACAAGGAGAGCGCTAATACTGGATTGGTCATCTGCATCAGCAGATACCCCGAGTCATGGTATCGGAAGAGAAAAAGTTGGATCAGTGCATCCCCACTTAAAAGTGCTTGAAAATGAATTCACATTCATTTAAGTCCTTATAATCTTGAAATGTTGTATCGCAATTCGACAAGACCATGAATGAAAAGGTCTCTATATTAACAAACTGATTTTCACTCAAAATCAATCAACCAAATGTTATTCAGTTTTCCTCAGGTGGGAAAGCTGAAGTTTGCTGCTACGCCCTTGTTTCTTTTTTCCTTAAATAACAGCAGTATCAGGAATGATTTGAAACTCTGGTGCAATAAACTGCCCAGGGGAGTTTGGAGCAACTGAGAACCAAACTGACCTTTGACCTCAAGACTCATCCTACTGGAAACAAACTTTACAACTTAACATCTGCTTTCAGGCAACCTGCTGTAGCCTCACAGCAGTTTTCTCCCTCCCTCCCCTTCTCTCATTTGAATTGATATTGTGCGGGCTCCCGTGTGTGTGCAAGCTGGCTGCATGGGTCATTGTGCTTCTCCTAAGTGTGTGTGTGTGTGTGTGTGTGTGTACGTTGAGGGTGATTATGAGGATGCAGCAGAGTGTGTGGATGCAGCTATGACAGGAAACTGAATTTGATCCTGAAATTCCAACAATCTGCAAGCTCACATACACACATCTGTCACACTGTCTCTATCTCTATCACACACACACACACACACACACACCTCAGGAGCTAAATAGTCTCGTTTTGGTCACAGATAAAAATCTTTCCACCAAGTCATTTACATCTTCACATCACCAGAGGTCACCATTCCACACAGAACCAAGACATCAAACCAAAGAGCTAGAGATTCATATTTATCGGTATATTATATATTACTGTGCTAATGCAGGACTTTTTCAGTAGATATAAACTCTCCATGCGTAGAATGTACACATACCATACTATGATTCATTACACAGTTGGTTTTTCAATCAGTATTAGTTTAGTTTATTTGTTCGCCATGATAGCTTCATGAGTCCATGTGGCGTTCTGAAAAGACCCACGTTTTGATTGCAGTCTCCTCCATTTCGTTGCATTTTTTTCATCTCTCCATCTTGTGATTTTTTTAATTTTCTTTTCACATCAGTCATTGGTCCTTTTTTTAACCCTCTCTTTTAGTGTCTCTCTCTTTATCCATTCTTGCTCTCTCTCTCTCTCTCTCTCTCTCTTTCTGCCACATGTCTGTCCAGGCCTGTTGCGCTGTGCCGTCATCATTTTCATCATCAGCATCACCAGGGGATGAGAGGAAGAGGAGGAGAAAAGAGGTCTGCCGGAGCAGCGGCGGATGGACGGCAGGAAGAGTGAGAAGGGGATAAGCGGGAGAGAGAGCAGGATGAAAAGAAGGAGAGAGAGACAGAGAGGCATATTGCCCATTGTGCCATCTGAGTCACTCCTGGTGCAGCGCTGACGTGGAGACACGCTGACTGGTTTCTATGGTTACTCCAGCATAGCGTCGAGTTGGTCGGCCAGGTCATCGAACATGCTGCCGATGTCGTCGAGGATGCTAACCGTGGTCTTCTGCTCAGCCACAGAGCTAAATACACACACAGAGAAACACAACATTTACCAACTGTTATACTTTATTTAAAGATCTGGGCGTCTAGTTTTCACAGTAGCGCAGGCTGGTGGAAAGACCAGTACTGAAAATATGGGGTAAATTCACAATTTGATAAACCCCTCCCTCCTCAGTTAGTGTTGCCACACCTGTCAAGCTTTCCATTCTTCCATTACATATATGCAGTTTTTCATGATTACAGATTTACAATCAAAATTCTTTATAATTTTTGAAACCATGGATTCTTGATTTCAGACAGAGGTAGACAAAAGCAGGCTTCTCATTTCTAACCAGTGACTGTTGATTTTGAGCTGGCAGATTTTATCAGCTGTAGCTAGTAAGCCTATTAAGCTGAAACTAGTTCCACAAGTTGGTGATGGCTACAATCATGAATAATCTCTCATTTTGCTGACGCTTTTATCTAAGCGACTTACAATTGCTATGTATGTCAGAGGTCACGCTTCTGGGGCAACGAGAGGTTAACTGTGTTGCTCAGGGACACAGTGTGTCACAGTGGGAACACCAAAGGCTTGTGTCTTATCCACTGCTCCATCACCACCCAAGACGTAGAAATACAGAAACATCAGCATTTTTCTTATATTGCAGTGCAGAGCTAGTCCTAGTTTGGTCGTAAACCAAAGCATTAAACAAATTTTGACCAGATGATGGAGAGATCACCAAAGTGGTTGCAATTCATTCTGAGAGGGGGAACTGAAATTCTACTAAATTTCATGGTAATCCAGACAACAGTTGTCAAGACATTTCACTAAAAGCCAAAAATGTCCACCACATGGTGGCGCTAGAGCGACCGTCACGAGATCACAAAAGTCAGTAGGATTCATCCATGAATGTCTGGACAATTTTTTATGGCTGAAATCGCACACTTCTGCAGCATTATTGGGCATTATAAAATTGAGTACATGAGACAGTATGTGTGTGTGTGTGTGTGTGCGCGCTTACTCCTCCTGCCGCAGTATCTTGTCCTCCACGGCCTGCAGAGCCGCGGCCAGCGACGCACTCGTCTCCTCCAGCTTCTGATGCACCAAAGAATCCACACCGAAGTCCGTCGTCGTGGTGGCTGGCGCCGTCACCCCACCTCCCACCATCCCACTGTCCACCGACACACCCCCAATGGAGGAGCGAGGGGGCTTGACAGGTGGCGGGGTCGGGCTGGGAGTAGCTGGAGTTTGGGGCGTCTGCGGTGTTGTGGGAGTTTGCGGGGTGTGGGGGCTCTGGGAAGACGGGCTCAGCGGCTTGGCGTTTGGCGGGCTTGGGATGTTGGAGGGAGGGAAGGAGGGGGGTGAGCTGGTCTGTCGGGCCACCGCAGGGTGCTGCTTGACCGGGTTAGGGGCCGGGATCGGGGAGGGGGGGCTGGTCATGGAGTGGATGAGCTTGGCCGGTTTGGGTGCCGTGGGCGGGGGCACTGGTTTCGGCGAGACAGGTGGAGGGATCTTCTTTCCTTCCACTACAGAAATGGAGAGGGAGAAAGAGAGAGCAATGCTGGATCACTCACTGGCATCTGCATCCTGATGGATTCCCTCTTTGCCTGAATTTTCCTGCTCTAATTAGCTGTAGTTTGGTCATGTTGGTTGTGAAAATGTGAGGTCATATCAAAGCATAACACCTAGTCTGCACAGGGATTGGTCAGGTGTGTGGAGGCTCAGCAACTACTTTTCGTGTGATGAGTTCGGACGACATGCTGTACAAACAAGTTAGTTTCGAGCATACTGACACCTTTACAGGCTTTGGAATCTTTAAGGATGCTTCAATATGCTTCAAACAAAGAGCTTGTCAAACAGCGTTTAAAACCTTGCGCAAACCTTTCTGTGAACTTTCTGTAACTGACAATTAGTACAGTTCATCATGTCCCCTCTTTATGACTTTTTGCCCCCCCTTCCAGTGTGGCCATTCACAACAGCCATGAACAAAACATGGTGATTTTACGACAAAGCACCGGCAAATTTCAAAGTAAGTCAAATACTGTGAGTACCTGGGCTTCCAGGTGTCCCAGGGCCAGGCAGGGGGACTCTCTTATTGGTGGCAGGAGGTGGGGGAGTCTGTGGGCCCCCCTGTCTCTTTATCTGTCCCACGACAGGCTTCGGGGAGACTGGTGGCTTTGGTTTTCTCACCGGACCTCCTTCATTGCCCACTGGAGTTCCTTGGTCCACACTGTCCCTGCGAGGAGCAGCAGTCACTTGCGGTTGAGGTTGATGTTGGGGTTGGGGTTGAGGTGGTGGCTGTTCTGTCACTCCAGTATCAGACACTAGGCGGCGTTTCATGGTAGCTGTGCCGTTCTGGTAGGGTACTGGCTGCGTGGTGTTCGGCTGACCACCCACCATAGGCTCCCCGTTAGCCCCAGCCAGGTCTGCGAAGCCCTCGGGCTCCTTGTCTCGGCTCTTGGGGCGTCGTTTGACGGTGGACGACTCCTGGAGGGTGAAGTCGGAGCCATTGGGGTGGGTCTTGGAGCTGCGGGGCCGTCGCTTTAAGGTCGCTGTGGCCTCGACCCTGGAGATGTCCTCCTGCGTGTAACCTCCGTCTCCCTGGGGCTCCTCGCCGTCACCCTGCAGACAAACACAAAATACACACTAACGGAAAATTCATACATTCGTGATAAGAGGGAATTTTTGCACAGTCAAAAACATTGACAAAGATAAATGGATAACACAAATAAAGCTTACAGAACACAGAAGCTGTACTATGAATCTGTAATACATTATTACACATATATTACATTACATAGATACATAGATAATGTAGATTCAATAGATAGATAGACAAACAGGCAGACATATATATATATAGATAGATAGCTACCTGTCCTTCTCCTTCTCCTCGACCCTGGCGGCGGATGGTCAGGCTGCCCTCCTCTGCAAAGGGCAGGTTCTCTGATGAACTGCCGCTACCTCCTGAGCTGGGGTGGGGGGAGGACGGAGGGTGTGGGGAGGAGGAATTTACAGGCAGAGGGGAGGTATCAGGCTGGGCTGAGGGAGAGGGGAAAGCAGAGGGAGTTGGCTGGTCGCGCCGGGCAGCCGCGACCAGCTCGCTGACAGGGCCACTAATGGTCCGCCGTCGGTTCACCACTTCACCGTCCAAACCAATGGCGTCACGTGTTTTCCCTACCTGTTAAACACACAACCATACAATTGCTTGATCATGCTAACGACACATATAAATGTGTGTTTTACATTTAGAGAAGCATATACAAATATCCAGACAATTTTACTACAAAATGTTTTCAATAATACCTGCAGGAAGTTCTTCTGCAGTGCCATGCCTTTGGGTCCACCCCCTATAGAAGACATCTCCAACATGGCGGCGATGCTCCTCACACTACCCACGCTGCTCGTCTCCACAACCGCTGGCTCCAGGGACACCCCCAGGTCGCTGGCCCGCCGCTGTTGGTGGTAAGGCACGTCCAACATCCCCCCCGTGGTGGTGAGCATCTGCGGCTGTGCGTTGGCATCTGTCAGGTTAGAGTTGCTGCTTGAGATGGCAGAGCTTGAGCGTTTGGGTGGCGGCGGGGGCGGGCCTTTTTTCTTCTGACGCAGAGCAAAGGACTGCGTCTGGTTGCGGTTGACGTTCTTGTCCTGGTTGCGGACGGAGTGGCTGCGGCTGACCCGATGGGTCACTGTGGCGTATTTGCCCCCTTCCCCTCTGACGACGGCAGAGCCCTGACCTCCCACTGCATCTGCTTCTCCTCCTCCGCCTCCTCCTGCCTTCTCCTCACACTCACCATCTGAGACGGCGTGTCTGTTGAGGCTTTGGGCGCGTTTCTGCTGGAGCGCAGAAGGCTCTGCTTCGTCCCCCTCTGTCAGCTCAGCCTCTGGTGGCAGGCAGAGGAGCGGGACCTGTGGTTGTTGGCTCTCCCTGACCTCCATGACCTGTGCCTGCGGATGGTGCTGAGGAGGTGCCTGGTGCTGCGGCGGGACTTGAGGCTGCTGTTGTTGTTGTTGGGGCTGAGCCTGGGTGCATGGAGCTCCGCGGTGGGTTGGAGACTGAGGGGGGTGGGAGCGTGGCGACTGAGGTCTCTCCCCCTGGATGAAAGGGGGGGATGGCTTGTGTTTGGCCTGCGGGGAAGCTGTGCTCTGGACGGAGGAGGTGGAGGAGGAAGATGAGGTTCTAGTCTTGGTAGGAGTGTGAGGGGGCGTGTAGGGAGGCGCAGGCTGGGAATGGGCATGGGAGTGTGAGTGACGATGTTTGCCTTGAGAGGAAACACTGCCTCTGTGAGAGGAGGTGCTTCCCTGGCTGCTCTGCTGCCTCATAGTCCGCGCCTCCTTCTTAGGTGGCCCAGAGCCACCACCTCCTCCTCCTCCTGTCATAACCTCATCATGGTCTTTGCTGAGGGTGCGTGTTCGCTGAGCTTTGACCTCCTGACCTGGCTGGGTCATGGCACTTTGTAGCTCAGTGCTCAACTCGCTGTCCTGGAAGGTGCTCATCTTTGGAGACATGACCTCTGAAGACAGAGAAAGAAACCCTTAAATATAAATATTAATCTTAATAAGACAGAACGTCATGACTGTTACAGAAATAAACCTTTGAGGGAAAATCACTTGACAACTAAGAGATGTTATTAGGTAAGGCATGGGGCTGCAGAAGATTCAAGTTAAACCTCATTCAAAGTTAATCATTATCGGACTATCCTCTGTAAGCTCACCATCTGGAGGTGGGCTGTCAATTGACATGACTTCCTGCTGCTGTGTGATTGGCGGGGGCTTCTTTCTGAGGGAGCCCCGCCCGTCTGAACTGCGCTGCATTTCAGCCAATCGCTTCACTGCCAGCATCAGCTTCTTCTGGTGGCCTAAAACATTGAAAGATTGGAATTGCTGATTAATTAAGGTAATTCATCCAGTTACTTTACAATTAAAATATTTTTTTTATCAAAACAAATATGTTCAAAAAGCCCTCCCTTGACCCTACTCAAGTTGAGAACTATCGGCCAGTTTCACTTCTACCATTTCTTCCAAATCGAACGGGCAGTCTTCAAACAGGTCTCAGAATTCCTTTCACGGAATTACCTCCTAGATCTATATCAGTCTGGTTTTAAGTGGCCACTCTACTGAAACGGCTCTTTTGTTTGTGACAGAAGCCCTAAGGTCAGCTAAAGCTGCAGCCCAATCCTCGGTTCTTATCCTGCTTGACCTATCAGCTGCCTTTGACACAGTCAATCACAGGATCCTGCTATCCGCGCTCTCAGCAATGGGCATCTCGGGCAAAGCACTCCTGTGGTTCTCGGGGCGTTCCTACAATGTTTTGTGGACAATTATCTTGCTCCCACTGCCTCTCCACCGGGGTGCCCTTAAGGTCGGTGCTAGGGCCCTTTCTCTTCTCAATTCATGCCACCTCACTGGGGCCGATCATTCGCTCGCACGGCTTCTCTTACGCAGACGATACGCAACTCTACCTATCCTTCCCGCCAGACAACCCCACCGTCTCGGTGCAGATCATGGACTATCGCACTGACATATGTGCATGGATGAAGGCTTCCCACCTTCAACTAAACCTCTCTAAGACTGAACTCTTGGTCATTCCAGCCAAGCAATCTATCCACCATAACATCAAACTACAAATTGGCTCTTCAACCATCACTCCAACCAGGGTGGTGAGAAACTTGGATGTCATGATTGATGACCAGCTGTCCTTTTCAGACCATGTTGCTGCTGTCTCTCGGTCATGCCGCTTTGCTCTATACAACATCAGAAAAATCCGGCCCTACCTCACTCAGTATGCCACCCAGCTTCTGGTACAGGCCATGGTTATTGCAATGCCCTCCTAGGAGGTCTTCAAGCTGGTGCGGTGAAATCCCTACAAATGGCAGCAGCACATCTGGTTTTTGATCCGCCCAAAAGGACTCATGTCAGTCCATTATTTAGTGACCTCCGCTGGCTACCCATGGCCTCCAGAATCAAATTCAAGTCACTAATGCTTGCATACAGAGCTACTACTGGGTCTGCACCAATCTACCTAAACTCCATAATACAAGCTTATGTTCCTTCTCGGCCGCTACGCTTCTCCAATGAACTGGCTCTGCCATCCCTTCACACAAAGCAATCTCAGTCCCTGTTCTCATCTGTGAAACCACGATGGTGGAACGAGCTACCACACGCCATCAGAGCAAGGGCGTCCCTCTAACTCTAACATGCACTTCCTGTGCTCTTCTTCTTCTATCCCCTTACAATTATCTTGTCTTGATTGCACTTTTTTGTTAACTCTTCTTTCCCTAGGTATGTCTTATAAGTTGTAAATCTCATGCTGTATTGATGCTTTGTTGATGCTTGTACGCTGTTCCTCAAATGTAAGTCGCTTTGGATAAGCGTCTGCCAAATGAGTAAATGTAAATGTAAATTATTATTATCATTATTATTTGTGTATGATCTTCCCTCAACTTAGAAGGTGAACATACACTGCAAACTGAAGCTCCAAAACTAAATATGGTAAAAGATTATCAGACAAGAATCAGTCAAATGTATGATTTGACTAATTAAAATTAAGTGTAAAAAGAACTCCGATGTTAAAATGCCCATCCTTACAGCAGAAATAAACATGTTTACAACCTGGACCAAAAAAGAGTTTTGGACTCTGGTGGGGTGGATTTTTATGTAACTGACCTGTTTAAATTATATTAAGGCTTAAAGTTATACATAATTAAGAACGTGGCCGCTTTGAGTGACAGGTCGGTGTTTTGGGGCTCCATATGCAACATGTCTAGTCTATGCCCCACAAGAATTTTTTGAACACATTCATTGGTTAATGATTTACAGCAGTGATCCTCAAACTTTTTCACATAATGGACCCCTAAATTGACACAAATTAGACCACGGACCACCATTTAATAAAAGGATTTTTACTTTTAGATGTTTTATTACAGAACGTGTATGAAACCCACGACCCAAGTAGTCAAACATTCTGACATTGTTTTACTTAAGGATGGAATTAGAATAAAATTAACCCCCTGGAACCCCTCAAGGACACTTCTGGGTCCCCGGACCCCACACAGCTGTCTCCTTATAACATTCAGCACACTTAAATGCTTGCCACATATGACATAGTCTCACTCTGAGCTCAATAATTTGAAATGTAGTAAATACCTAACATAAATCGCTGTCCACGGTGCTGACTCTAGTGCTTTGAAGCGGACACTGTAGCTTTCATGGTGGTCATATCTTCTGATGTATAAATGTATGGATGTGTACAAAGTTTATCTGAATGTCTTACCCAGTTTGGTGATGCCTATTTCGTGCAAGTCCTCCCAGGTGATGTCCGTGATGAATTCGATATTCTCGTAACCGTTCTGCACCAGCACCTGGTGGTACTGGCTTAGACCAATAGCAGAAAGCCACTCGCCTAGGCTGGCCTATAGGAACACCAGAAACATGACTTCTTACCCGGCTAGCCGACACCAACACTGGTAGCTTGTCTTTGTAAACAGGCTAAACATCTAATTAGTAGTTTAGAGTTTAATTAAACAGCTATGTGTGTTGAATTACTCACAGGCTTCTGCTCAGGCAGCCAGTCGTTGACACTTAGCTTGTTAATCTCTGATGTCATCTTCTTTCTGTGACCTGGTTTAGTTATTCCAATAGCGGTCAGATCCTACACACACAAACACACCACACACATGTGTGATATAGCAGAGGCTTGTTCAGGTTTTTACTCCACAAAGTGAATTCAAATCTCCCCAAGACTCCAGCAGTCTCTGTCACTCACACCCACCCACACACCCACACACACACACCCACCCACACACACACACACACATACACACACACACACAGAGGAAAACTTGCAACACAAATAAACAAGTGACAGCGTGACATCTGATGAAAGCTTCTGCCAGTTAAGGAGAAAAGAGCAGAAATGTAAATGTCTCAAAATCATAAGAAAAGCAAGAAAAGCAAAAGAAAATGTCTGCAATGAAAAGGAAGCATCTGTATGAAAGAATAAACTCAATTCCCCATGATGTAATTAAAATGCAGCTCTTTATACTCATTATTTCTGGCATAAGAAACAAGCTCATGCCTGAATACAAGCTGAATTAAAAATGATAATGTGCAGATTTATTAGGGAGCTGTAATTAATGAACAAACACTGTGCAACATACTATCAGTCTGTTTAATTGTGTTTCTGTGTATTTCAGTGGCAGCTGTGGTGGACACACAAGAACATACTTTTACAAACATACATGAACAACCACTACACACACACTTCGTTGCACGACTCAAATATGATATGCAGATGCGAACGAGCATACAGTAGAAGTGGCCAACATATCTCTGATAACAAACCCTTTTAAGTCAGCGAGAGTGTCAGAGAGTGTCAGACTAGCTCCTCAGAACAGGCAGCAGCAGCATTGCTGAAGGTGATGAAAGGGTCAGTAGGGTTATTATTATTATATCACCTTTTGATACTTCTTGTTTTGGGATTTTATTTATTTTCCCCTCTTTTAGCTCCAGTTTGTAATTCATGTATTATTTCTTTTTAGATTTTTTTTTATTTGACAATATGATGCAGTTACGTAAAAGAGCATCACTGGGCTGATGTGAACATGTATTTGCTCTTCTAAATATTTAGTTTGAAGGAGTGCTCCAGCGATTTAGCATTGCACTTTCAATGCTAAATACCACTTTAAGCATGAGGACTCACTAGAGGCAGATTAAAAAAGGAATGGTCAAAATCAAAGCAGATATCCCAACTTTTAGTCCCTAGTATGGGCAGAGATGGGGACTCGAGTTTGAAACTCGGACTCGAGTCCGACTTAAGTCGCACACAGTGACTTCAGACTCGACTTGAGACTCATCCTCAAAAGACTTCAGACTCGACTTGGACTCGAGGTGCGGAACTCGTGAACAATGTTTATTTTTAGGAAACGTCTGATGAGCTTGCTGTTATTCCCTCCCTCCGTTACCTATAACCCGCCTATGTAACACGTAGCATCTGCTGCGCACGGCCGCACGTGAGAGAGGACAACAAACTCCGGCAGCTGCTGAGCCATTCATCATAAACTTTGGCTTTAAAACTTCCCACAACAAGGCCCAAACAAAGAAGCGCTGAACGCGAAATAGGTTACTAATATGAGGTTAGTAAACATGTTTAGCTCAGCGTTGGCCAACGTTAGCTTCCTTCTTGCTTTAGGAACGACTGTCGTTTGTTGTGAAAAAATGAATGAGTGTTTGTTTACTTGCCAAACTTCTGGCAGTCGATTAACATAATCATTTACGTCCCGCTGGCTGCCATCACATTAATTATTAACGTTGGCTGCAAACAGGTTACAGGTTATTGTTATAAGCTGTCATTAATTGCATTGCACATTGCATGGTTGTGCTCTGTAAGTGAAAAACAGGTTACAGCTACAGAATCCCTTATAGGTAGTGATGGGCAAATGAAGCTTTAGTGAAGTACTGAACCACCTGAGCCAATTGTTTCAATAATGGGTTCATTACTCAAAGCTTCAGTTACAGTGACTTCTCCTGGCGAAGTTCAAGGCTGCAGGCAAATTAGACAGGCTAGCTGGTGGACACGACACTTTTAATTACATACACGCACGCCCCTCGATGAGCAGTGCTGGGGAAACTACTTTACTTTTGTAGAAAAAGCATCTTTGCTTTAATCACCCTTGGATTTAAAGTATATTTACTTTGAAAATTCTTTGATGCACACACATTAAGACTGAACATCATGTTCAAATAAAGATTGATGAATGCATGTATTTTGTTATTGAGGAGAGAGTGCTGGGAAATATGGCATAGGTTGGATGTGCTTGTGTGACAGGGGGTGAATGTGTTCGATGGGGTGCACAAACACTCAAAGCTTTCGAGACGATTGGGGCAGTGCCAGTGAATCACGTGATTGGACCGCGAACCAGTCAGTGATTCATTCAGTAAGTGAAGCAGTTGCTGCTTCGGACTTCACATGTCACGTGATTTTATTCGCACCAAAGCAAGCTCTGAAGCAGTGGTTCAATGGGATTGTAGTCCAGGGGTTTGAAGCGTGTATTGAAGCTTCAGTGTTGCACTGCAACGCAGTTTTATTAGCAGCCTGGTTTGAACACAGCAGGTGATACAACATTCATTATAACCATGAGAGCCTTGAGACTTGACTTGGACTCTTGCTCAGAGACTTGAGACTTGACTTGGAAGCTATAAAAAATGGATCCCAAATTTACCATAATGCAGCTCAGTAGCATTTTTCATTAGACCCTCCCTATGTGATAGAAGTCCATGTCCTTTAAACTCCACACCCTATGTTTGTAACAAAGGCTGACTGTTAAACATTGAAAGTCTCAAGCCCAACCTGAGATAACCCCAATGACATCATATCGCTCTTTAAAAAAATGTATTGTGGGGAAACTCTCACAGTGTAGCACAAGTAATTTTTATGCCAGAGGTCCTCACCTTTTCATAACAACCCTCTGGTTCAAAAATCATCACTTTCTGTGGGTAAACATTCTTTGCTTCTTACAGAAATAAATCATTAGAATATAGCTTTTTTTGCTTTTCATTTAAACAGACAGGTCCAGCTTTGAGTTTTCCTTGATCAGTTGTCCTTGTTAATTAAAGCTGCACTGAGGCACTTTTGACCACTAGGGGACAGCAACTCACTTTAACCCACAACAATCGTCTTTTGTACAGTAGTTGTTATGGTCAACATGTTAGCAAACATAGGTTACCAAAACGCTTAGCTAAAAGTGGTTAAAATGCAGAGGTGGGCGTTGTTACTCAGTGGGTTTGGTATTATGAGTAACCTTTTGTTTTATTGTTTAATTTCACGTGAATAACAGCTTTTAAACCACAAGCTGAGGTTATTGGAAATGTACCCTTTTGGAAAATACACAGTTAGATAACACTCTCACGCCTGTACACCGTGATATGTAATAATGAAGTTGCCACCAGCAGCCAGTACATTAGCTTAGTGCAAAGACAATAAACAGAGGGAAACAGCTAGTCTTTGTGTTAAGCTAAGCTAACCGGCTGCTGGTAGTAGCTTCGTATTTTCCAGAGTGGTATTTAGTCAAACATTTTAGCTAAAGTAGACATCCTATCCAGCAGCTTGACACAATTGTAATTACCATAGGCATGACAATAATATTTTTATTAAATTGTAAGAGAGACACAGGTCAAGGGTGAGAAGTGAAAGGTTCAACCAGGACAGGTTTGGCAGGAGGCAGGGAAAGGATAGCTCAGGTCAGTTTAGTTGAGTGGTTTATATGTGCTCATTTGAGGATTTGTGCAGGAAATTATATACATGCATTTTGAAAACACAAAGACAGCACAAATCAAAGTCTTGCAGACTTGTTGCCATTGTGGTCCTTGGAGGTGACAGTGACCTCACGGGGGTTCGGGGGTCAGGGTTCAGTTGCCTTACCTCCGGGGTCATTCGGCTAATGGTGGGCAAGTCATACCCAGCGCCCAGGAAGTTTGGAGCGTAGACCTGCAGCTGAAAGTCGCTCAGCCATTGGACAACGGCCTCTGAGCTCTACGGGAGAGAAGACAGGGGGTATGCTGTCACTGGCTACGTGTCTGCTTCTTTAACAGCCACTTTTTCTCAGCAGGGCCAAGGAGGGCCAAACTGGGACCACAATAAAGGTACTGTAGAAAGAAACTGTTCACCATATCTATCATCTGTTTTCAGTACATCTTAACTGATGTCACAAAGACTAGTTCTTATACATTTATGGATATTATAAGGATTCAGTCCAGTTTTTATAAGCCAACTGGCTCCTGAAAGAGTCAAAGAATAACTCTGCTTAGCCCTGCTTAGCCCTGTAGTGAAAACCAGGCTAAAGTTAGGAAGGGGAAAGGCCCTGCCTACAGTTTCTCAAATCCTACAGCAAGAAATGCAGATTAGCAGCAGCAGGCTAATTTGCATTTGACACTTTACAGGAAAGTAAAGACAAATTGTCGTGCCTGGTAAGACAGGATAAACAACAATGCCAAAGCTAAAAATATAGCTTAATCCTTTAAATTTGTTGTATGTAGTAGTATGAAATATTTACAAAAGAAAACTAAGCAAATATGTGCATATAAAAACATACAAATAAAAGTATATAAAAAATATAAGCTCGATCTATAATCTAGGTGCCTGGAGGAAGTTGCACCAGCTGTTGAGTTCAAACTTAACCTAGTTATAAGATAAGTGTTAAGTGGAGATTTACTCACCACTAAATTTAAAAGGCTTCCACTGCACAAGCACATTTCTATTTCGAGATTATTTGTTACTAAGTAGGCTATTTACACCTACTAACTGCCAGGTGTAGCTGTTGCGTAGATAAACCAACTGACAGAACTAATGTAACTTGCTATGACCAGTTTGGAGTATACACATGACACTTCATTAATAGGCGGTTTAATAACAGCAGAAACAAGCAGTAAACACAACATCACCTTTTAAGTTGATATGCTGTTGCAAACTGTTGCTAATGTACGTATCCAGCAGTCACAGAGCAACATTATCATTCATGTAGGAGTCATAATTCTGTCAACCTGGCAAATGGAAGTCCAACACTCCCTCTCCTATTAGCTCTGTTTTTGGTCTCCACCCACTCCTGGGGAAATCTTGCTCTTTAGCTGCTAAATGCTCCACTATGTTCAATAGTTAGTTGCTAACTGTGTCTGCTGTTTGGTGTAGGGAATTCTGGCACAACTTCACCTCTTTAAAGGTGCAACGAGAAGGCAAAAAGTCTGAAGAGGTAAAACTTATAGATGGTTTGGGTACATATTCATGTGCCTTCAAGCCACAGTAGCTGGTGCAACCCAATCCTGATCAGCTGTAAGAGACCACAGATATACAACCTGGTGAAAATAGTTGTTGATTTGCTGCAATGCCCTGCTCTAAATGCTGATGGCTGACAGCAGGGAGCACAGCCACAGGACTGACTGACTATTCCCCACACACTCTGTTTCTCTTTTAAGTCCTACATCCCTTCTGTCTTTCTCCTTCCTGCATGTCTCTTCATCTTCTTCTTTATCTCTACCTGTGACCCTCCTCCTCCACACTGTCCCTCAAAGCTGATTGGTTTGCGGGACGTATTTCATCGTCTTTACCCTGCCGAGGGAAATATTAGGACGATGGGTGCCGAAGAATCAGGACTCTAGCTAACAGATGGCCGTGAGAACATGGCTTACATGAGAGCACACACAAACACACACTGTAGGCAAGCGATGCACACACGACCACCACGACCACCTGCTATTTAAATATGCTCATTGGTTTATCAAGCTTGACATTATTATACAATGAGACGTGAACCTAAATGTTGGCCCACACGTATACACACACACACTCACACACACACACACACACACACACACACACACACAAATACATACAGTAAACAACAGCTTACTGTACATGGTGTAAGCTCATATTTCACAGTTCTTGTGCTGAGCTAGTCCACCCACAACATGCACACTGCTGAGCACCTGCCAGCACAAACACACATACACACACACACACACACACACACACCGATAATTTAACTAGAGTTACGCCTGCCTCAGGCGCACATACCAACCATCAATTGGGAGACATTAATCTCTGCAAAAGAAGAAAAATACCGCAATGGAAGAAGAGAAGCTGCAACTAAAAGTAGTGAATAAGGATGAATAGCAGGTAGCAGATAAACAAAAGAAGGACAGGATTCTCTATCTCTCTCTCTCACACACACATTTTGTGTTTACAGATTCATACAAGATTGAGCCGGAGATCTTCCATTCACACACTCACCGTGTCATGGCTGCATCCGAACACTCGCAGAACAGACGAGGCCAGTTGTGAAAGAAACCGCTGGGACATCTTGGTGTGTGTGTGTGTGTGTGTGTGTGTGCGTGTGTGTGTATGATACAGAAAAGTCTGGATGTGTGCGTACAAGAGTGAGAGGGTCGTGGTTAAGGTGACTGAGAAGTTACATTGTCATCATGCTGCAGTCAGACGTTGATAGTGGTGAATGTCTGTGTGTGACTCATGTGTGATTGTAAGAAAGAGGTAGAGAGGACTGAATCTGTGGGAATTTGCGACTGTCCTACCTTCCCCTCGCCTGGCCCCTCCCCCTTCCTGGTTGCCGTGGCGTCGTAAGGAGGCGCTTCGTGGAGTGGACAGCCCGATTGGCTTGATGTCCGAGAGGAGCTGGTGGGGCCTGTTGGAAAAAGACCATTGGCCAGTTTCAAGCTGTTGCCCTATCACATCGATCAACATATGATTTCAGGCCAATCTCCTTCATTGCTTCAATAGGGAACCAATCAAATTCTTGCTCACCAAGATATAACAAACCTTTGTAACCAATTACACCCTCCTGCATCTCCTCCTACATCCCCTGCCTTGGCCATCTGTCTGTTAACCCAGCCAAGTTCTGTGTGCATGTGTGTATCTGTGTTTGTGTGTGTAGAAGTGATATGACATCTTTTAAAATACCAGTGGATTATGACTCCTATTTTTCTAACCCGACTCTCTTTCTCCCTGGTTTTAATCATTTCCCCTTTATTTCAAACATTCCCCTTTCCCTCCTTCTCACACTTTCAAGTATGGTTATTGTGAATTCATGTTATATAATGAGTCTAAAGATCCTACTGTAAGTAAACTCATTAGAGTGAACCACAGAAACTGGGATCAGCCTCTGTGTACTGCCCTGTCCTACCTGCAGGCTGCTCCACAGATTTGGACTGCTCCAGTAGGTGCTCCTTGGCTTTGGCAGACTGGGACAAGACTGTGGCTAGAAGCTGCAAAAACACAAACACAAATACATACATGAACAACATAAATACATACATGAACAACTTACTTTTTGTTCAGCTCTCGTTAGACTAAGTCGGCAAAAGTCAGCCGCAGTCATCTTGAACACACCTACTGTCACCTTTTAAGTAGTTGTGCAAAGCTGGAATTGCTTATCCAAACGTGCCTGTTCCTTTTATGCTTGTTTGTCGTACATTTACATTTACGTTTTCACCTCCAATTTGACCAACCAATCAACTTGTACTGCACAAAGCATTGTTGAGATTAGAGAGGTGTCATTTAGGTGTATAATATGAGAAGCATAATTTCAGCTTTAGCAAACAGTTGCCTATTTTCACATCCAGCAGGCGTAAACACATTAGCATTCATTTGGAGTCATGTTTCTGGTCACCTGATGTATTTAAGTCCAATATTCACCCTCTATAGCTCTGTATTGGTCTCTACTGGCTCTTTAGTCACTAAATGTTCCACTATGTTCACCAGCTAGCTGCTAACATTGCCGTTTGCTGCTGAGCAGGTCGGTTTCTCACTTTGAACAACTGCTGGGTTGATATGAGCGGGGAGAGTGATTCAGAACAGTTACATTCTGTCATAAAACCAAAACGATGAGCTGAAAGGTGCTAAAAGGTTTGTCAATACAAGTGACCACTTTCACATTACACATTTGATCCATTGTTGATATTGATTAGTGGAACTTTATACTTGGTCATAGTTATCCAACAAAGGTTGAGGTCAAGGGCAACTGGACTTGGTTGACAACACAAAATCATACCCAACAGCCTTACGCTCCACGATGAAAGGACACAGAGCCGGTATAATCTTGGAGAAAGCGCAACACCAGCTACTGAATGAGAGCGTGAGACAGATCCATTTCACCACTGAAGCCCTGAATAAAGAATCAGACAACTTACACCAAAAACTGGAAACACATCTGCCCAGTACAGTACTAGAAAAGGTCATGGATTTCATTAAGAAAGCACAGCTATCTTAACACAACAAGAGCAAAGAAAGATGGACCCAAAAATTCCAAAACCTCCAAACAAGAGCCAGCAACGCAAACAAAACAGGAGAATTGTCTTGGAGACCGAAAAAGAAGCAGAACTGCCCAGGCTAAAGGTATCGGCAGCCCTTTCTAATGCGAAGGTACTCCCTTCCAACCTCACCATCCAGGAAAGGAGACTGTGACATCACTAATCAAGGATCAAAACATCACCATCTTACCTGCGGACAAAGGAAGATGCACGGTAGTCCTTAACGCAGTGGACTACCAGGACAAAGTCAACACACTACTATTGGACACAAACACATATGAGACACTGAAGCGGGACCCAGCCAGCGGGTACAAGAAGAAGGCCATAGAATGTCTACAACAACTTCAGAAAGAAAACTCCATCACCAGGGAACAGTATTACCATTTGTATCCTGGAGAAGCCATTCCTTGCATATATGGACTACCCAAAATACACAAAAAAGGAGACCCACTCAGGCCAATTATCAGCAGCATCAACTCGGTCACCTACAGCACATATCTACCATCTTAGCCCCTTTGGTTGGAAACACGCGCCACCACATCCAAAACTCTATTGACTTTGAAAACAAAGTTCGAGGACTGAAACTGGACCCAGATGACAGCATGGTGTCCTATGATTTGACCTCTTTGTTCACCTGCATCCCCACCATGGAGGCAGTAGAATCCATAAGGAAACAGCTAAACAGCAGAACCAGCCTCAGCCCTGACCAGATCTGTAAATTACTTGACCTCTGTCCAAACACCACCTATTTCCGATCCAATGGAGGATTCTACAGACAAAAGCATGGCTGTGCCATGGGCTCACCAGTCTCACCTATTGTGGCAAACATCTACATGGAAGAAGTGGAGAATAAAGCCCTCAACTCCTTCAGAGCTCGTGCTGTTCAGAGTAACAGCACGAGCCACTGGTACAGATATGTGGACGACACCTGGGTCAAAATTAAAAGCCAAGAAGTGCAAGCCTTCACAGAACACATCAACTCTGTGGACAGTAACATCAAGTTCACACGAGAAGATGTCTGGAACACAGGGTCATCAGAACCCTGCACCACAGAGCGGACCGCATACCAACAAGTGCGCAAGCCAGAGAGAAGGAACAGAACCAGCTGAAGGGGGCACTTACAGCCTGTGGATACCCTAAATGGACCTTTGTGAAAACAGCCACAAAATCCAGGAAGAAGACCAACACTACAGGGGAAGGTCAAACACAACATCATTGTGATTCCATATGTGTCTGGAGTATCAGAGAAACTCAGGAGGATTTTCAGCAAACACCGCATCGCTGTGTTTTTTAAACCCAAGAACACGCTAAGACAAATACTGGTACACCCCAAAGACCGCACACCCAAACACAAAAAAAACAATCTAGCATATGCAATCCAATGCAGTGAGGAATGCACTGAACTGTACATTGGGGAAACTAAAGAACCACTACACAAACGCATGGCTCAACACAGAAGGGCCAAATCCTCAGGTCAAGACTCTGCAGTCTACTTACATCTGAAGGACAGAGGACACTCGTTTGAGGACCACCAGGTGCACATTTTAGACAGAGAAGATGGATGGTTTGAAAGAGGCGTCAAGGAAGCCATCTACACCAGGGTTGAGAAGCCGTCATTGAACAGGGGAGGAGGTCTACGCCACCACTTATCCCGCACTTACAATGCTGTCCTTTCATCACTTCCCAGGAAACTCAACAAACGTAACCTATTGGCCTCAGGTGAAGACTCCAACGATGGTCGTTCAGACTTGGCCACGGGTGGCTCTAACGACTGTAACGACTGTCGTTAACACAGCCAGGAGCACTAACGAACCAGTGGTATCGACAATCCTAGCTAACGACCCCACTGAGCTTAAATAGCTGAGTTTCCCTGCCAGTCAGTCAGAACTGAAGAAGTCTCTTGGATGAGGGACGAAACGTCTTCTAGTATCTTCAACCAAGTCCAGTAGCCCTTGACCTCAACCTTCGTTGGATAAGCTGAATAGGCCAATAGGACCACAGCAGGAAATGCTATGCTTACTTTTTGTTTTACTTTTGTGATAAATCCACTCAAGTGTTTTTCTGTTGTCATGCTAAAATGTAACGAAACAAATAGAAAAGATTAATAAATTAAACAAATTGACTAAGTAATGTAAATTAATTACACAGCAACTAAAAGCATCTAAAACTATCTAGTGTTAGCTATCATTAGCCACCATAAGCCCAAGTAAATTTGAGAAAGGGTGTTTTATTATTAATGAATTTAACTTTTCATTTGTTAGAGAAAGAATGTGTATTTCTTCTTTCAAATGTTACATAGTCTCAGTTTAACATAACACATACACAGTGGCAAATTATTCATTATCATATAATAACTTGCCCTTACATGAGTTTATTCTACTGTGAATCATAACACGCCATGATATATTATCTAGTGATTCAGGCTGTATGATGAGCAAACTCCATTTCTTGGTCATACTGTATATTGGCCCCAAGGGGACAGTGATACATTTACACAACAATGTACCCTTAGCAGGGAAGAAAGGAAATTGGTAGGGTACAGTTTTGCCTTCTCATTAAGAAACAAAAAATGCCAATTCTAAAACCTCATCATCTCAGAGAAGATCGATCTCAGTGGGAAAGTCTGTCTGTATGACAACTGCTGCCACATTACACATCGCATCACATCTAAATCTAAGTGAATAGAGAGAGACGCAGAAAAGACAGATGCTACCAGTTCATCTGCGATGCAATTGGGTCTAATTTTGCTGCATGGATGTTTCAGTAGGTTTAAAAAGTTCCTTAACAGGACCCTTGCTGAAAATGTACGACATGTGCAGCTGGCTGTTTTTATGAGTAAGAAATACCTTGAGAGACAGCTTCAGACTACGAACACACTCACAGAACACCATCTCTGTGGTTGTATAAATGTCTGTATATCTAAGAGTGAAGGGATGAGGGTGAGCCTCCAAGTCTGTACTATGAGGCACTGCTGTAGCGCCATAGCATATGACTGACTCATCGTCAGGTTCTGGATAGACACAACTGCATGTGTTGTGTTTCTCCACTCAAGTATTTAGGTTTTTCTTTCAGTTTGTCTCCTGTCTGTGTGTGTGTGTTTGCTCTGTTTTACAGAAACTAATTTCTCATTTCATTTTGTAATTTACTGACTTTGTTAACATCAGTAGCACTTTATTTAGCAGGACCATAATTTGCTAACATTACATAGTTATTGCCAGTGAACCTCCTAGGAAATAATTATACCCAGGAAGTTTCCCAGAAATAAAGTTTTACAGAATTACAAGCAAATATGAGTTTGTTTGTTTTTTGAAAGAACTGCTCCATTAAAAACCCAACATATATTCATTCATTATTCATCAGTGGTGAAAGAAGTATTCAGATCCAAGAGTTAAAGACCATGAAAACCAATTTTCTCATTCAGCTTCTTACTAAGAGTGATGGGGTCCAACTTAAACGCTTTCTGCCAAAGTTTGAACCATTCTGATTATTTTATATGAGTGATTTTTATATTTTTTGTTTTGTTAGACTCTCACTAGCTTGAAGTTGGCGGGACTCAATTGGAAAAAGACGCAATGCAATGTACATCTGTGCACCAATCAAGCATTTGAATCAAAATGTGACGACAGTTGGTGGGTTACTTAGGTTGCCAGATATCTGTCGATCCAATCGGATCGAAGCATATCAACAGAGACCAGATGAAGCAGACTTTAATTTGAATCATGAATAGTTGGTGTTGCAGAGAAGCATTAATTGCGGTGTCCAATCTGGCCACAGAGCTCCACAGTCATCTGAAATATCATTGAAGTCTATGATATAAAGTAGCCAAGGAGTTTATTTTTTGTTTGTGTTCATGTGTTTGAGAGCAGCGCTGGTTGAGCAAGGAGCGGCGGTAGCGTGAAAGCCAGTGAATCAGAGAAATAAAATGCTATTTTCTGATGCGGTTACGTTCTAAAGCACAAATAAGCACACCCGCACCCCCACAGACCGCTACACAACTAGCAGCTAATCGCCGCAACGCAAGCTTTTGTCTGAATACAGCCTTACGCTGTCAAAGTCAACGAAATTAACAGTGTACCAAAATTACTAATTTACACAATTCTCTACAAGGAATTCACTGGGATAGCGATGCCATACCTTAACCCCTTCAGCCTGTGCATGGAGGATATGTGCGGTGCTGCCGGCACTCTGACCGCTGCCCGACGACCTCACACTGGTCACACTTCCAGAACTACCCAAGCTGCTGCGGTCTCCACCTGCAATACACACACACACACACACACACACACACACACACACACAAACACACACATACAAACAAAACCACACACGTACATTCACACACGCATGCAACCACCCAAACAATATGTATAGATTTTATGCAAACAAATGCACACATGCAACAAACAGATGGATGCATTCAGTTACACACACACACACACACACACACACACACACAGAGGCACACACACACACACACACACAGAGGCACACATTGAGTGGTTTAACCTGATAGCCAAAGCAACGTGGTAACAGATGTGACTCTCCTTTGAAATGCACTGGGCAGCGTGTGGTTGGATGGACAGGACGGACGGACAGTCAGACAGTTTGACGGACGACTGAGTGACAAACATGGAAGTGGAGTAAACAAGACACACCTTTCGCTTTCAAACAGACACAACACACACACACACACACACACACCTTTTCGCTCACTCTTCCTGTCTCTCTTTCCTAAGTTTTCTTGTTCTCTCTCACACGAAAACATCTCCATACATCCAGTTGGAAAGACAAACAGACTGTGGACCGATGCAGATGGCTGCAGTCCTACACATGAGGCCACGGAGTTCAGCTAAGCTTCAGATGGAGGGATAAGCAGGACATGGGGGACTGTCAGGAGCGGGCCAAAGAGTATCTGAAAGCCTTCAAACAACATCATTCTTCAGCTCAAAGAAATGGATTGGATTGAAAGGCAGTGCCAGGCGGAAAAAATTCGTTTGAACGAATGCCAGATACTGTTTGACCCCTGGTCAGAGTTTAAGGAGTCAGGGGTTGAGGGCTCAGCGCAGCGCGGCTTCGTTACCTGCCACTGGCTTGCGCAGTACCCAGATCTCTTCGTTGGAGCCTCCATGGGGCCCGCTGGACGGGGTGGGAGAGCTGTGAGGACTTGCCTCTGAGCCGCGACAACCTTTAACACAGAACACCACTGTTAGCCGCTAACCGACCCTAACCTGGCTTTGGAAGCCTTGCTATCCTTTAAAGCAGCGGTAATTTATGCTTTTGTCAATTTTGGGGCAGCAGAAAAAGCTGAAAACACAACACTGACAAATTATCACCTTATAAAGTTGATAGTACGACTGCGTATTTGAATTCTTTTAAACTTAGGAAGCCGTGGGAGGGGGGTAATATGCTGAAAATTCACAATTTCAGAGAGAAAAAAAAGGACATTGCCTGAGGTTAAAGTGGTAATTTTACGCAATAAAACTCACAAATTTACGAGAAAATCTTTTTTTACTCTTAGCTGCTAAATGCTACACTATGTTCACTAGCTAGTCACTAACTTTGTCTGCCTGCTGCTTGGCGCTAGGTAAAGGAACGTAAAGGCCTTAAAACCAACAATTAGCTAAAAGAGGCTACAAAGCTTCAAAAAGGGGAATTGTGGAGTCTACTCATAACTCTCTATGGGTTCATCACTACAAGCAACGGCTCTTACATTACACAAAATATTGGTTAGTGCTGCTTTAATTAAATCTTTTAACAATCAACTTTTAATTATCCCTAAACTTGAGTTTGTTGCTACAATGAAACCACTTATAAAGACAAGAATAAAAATATTTTTACAAAAGATTTAGCACTTAGAATTACTTTTGTTTTTTTGTCAACTAGTTATTTCAATCTGATATTATGAAAAAAAAAGAGGTGCATATAAATCTTTACCAATCCACTCCATCATTTAAAATGTGGAGTAAATTTGCACTGCAACTGGCAATGCCACATACAGAATTTGTCCAATATACTAAATGCGCAAACTACCTCACTTAAAGACTCTCACTATGAACTGCTTTGGCAGATTACAGGCATTGTAATCGGGTTTATGTTTTCAGAAAACTAAGAGTAAAGTGGGGTTAATTAAATAAATTCCAAACCTACCCGCTAAAAAAGACAGAAATTGCAGAGGGGCCAGTAGGAGAGCAGGGTGATCGGGTAAAAGCGGATAAGGGAGGTTATTAAAAGGATAAGTTTCAAACTCACTTACACACCATACTTTCATTCTCACATACATGCTCACACACACATACACAGAAAAAATACAGCATATATATATAGATATATGAAAACATTTATATACCCATAGTACATAAATAAATCCATAACATGAATATCTGCGTATATACACATAAATGCCATAATGTACATACACATACATATATAATGCATCCATACGTGTGTGATTATATATGTAAGCCTTATTCAGAATGGGGCTGCTGTAGTGCATTTGGAGAGTGTCATAAACCATTATAACCATCTTAATAAGGGTTTATAAATGGTTTATATGTGTGACCAACAGTGCTCCAGAGAAACACACACATTAAAAAGTTCCATTTGTAATGTCGCAGCTCCTTCTTGTGGCCATTTTGCATCCCTCCAAGTGACCTCAAAGAACTATGCAGTCTGTTTTCAAAGACTTTGAACAGGCTTTGATTTGTTTCAACCAATGTACTAACCTGATGTAGTTATAAGTAGAAGCATTATATTCTTCTTTATTTGGGTGCTGCAATCCCATTTTTGGACTTAGTGTATGAAAGGAACATGTGTCTAAAGGGATGTATTCTCCTGGAGGAAACAAAATGGTGTTCCATTCACAGAGTAGAGAGTTTACAGTCAGTGAATACCTTACCTGCAAAACATCCTGGGTGATTTTTTCTAACAATGTATTTGTGTCTCTTACATAACACTCCACATTTTACATTGTATAACTTGCAAATCTTTGCATAGATAATTTCAGCATGTATTTAGCACATGGTGTTCAAGAATCCAAGACTGCACAAACGCAAAAGACTGTTACAAATGAATTAACATTATTCCAGATACCATTTAAAATATCACCCGTTAATGCCTTAAAAGCTTGTCTTTTGGAGCAACAGCTCCAAATAAGTCTCTGACAAACGTAACTGTCATCTAAATAACAACTCCAATCCAGAAAACAGCTGTATATTTTTACTCAAAAGTGATAACTTCCCTGAGACTCATTGTGTCGTTTCAAATTATGTTAAACTGTGATTCAGAGCATTCAGAACTGTTCTAGACTTATTCACCCATCCACAGCCTGGTACAGACCATTCCCCACCACCGCTCACACACACACATTGAGGGTATAAGTGCAAGGTGGGGAGAAAGTGGTGTTCAAATGATCAGACGTGACAAAAACACTCAGGACAGGGACGGAACAGGAAAACACGCTTGTCCACACAGTCTGGTCAGGGGTTATATATGATGTGTGTGTGCTTAAGAAACTAGAGGGGCTGTCTTTGTGGTTGGGACAGTGGTGATATACAGGGAAAGAGGAAAGAACGAAGAGGAAGAAGAAAAAAAAAACGAACTGCAACAAAACAAGGAACCAATACAATAAACTAAAGCACAAACCAACTCAGGTGAACAGAGGTCAGTAAATGGTGAGCTTTCCTCCCACTTGACATCTATTCTTCCTTAATAGCAAAGAAATTCTCAAAAGATTCCCCCTTGGGGTGGGTCAAAATGTCAGCACACACCACTGCATTAGCATTACTTTATCAACTTGTTGTCCTTCCTGCAGAGCTGTTTTCTTATTGGCAGAAGTGATAAAGCAGTGACCACACCTGCACAAGAGGGGCATGACTTGACATTTTTTACAAAGACATGTCTTCTTACAGAGCAAGCCATAAATACATTCAACTATAGTGCTGAGATGTTTTTTGTGGTTGATTTTGGCCCTGTGACGCCTCATTTATGCTGATTCACATGAGACTGACAGAAACATTAATTCAGTAGCCATGAAATTAAATAACTGGCATAATCTGGGGTCTAAAGGGTCAAAAAGACCAAAGTTATGACTTGGCCTTAAATTACATCTATATATTATTATATATTGTTAGCAGTGTTATTTCCATCAGTAAATATTAAATGGGTAAACTGGCACCTCTCTATTATTAACCCGCTTGTCTGGAGTAGGGCCTAACCTGATTTACACAGCCCAGGAAACCAAAATTGATAAACGGAGATGCATTAATAATACATATATGTTGCTAAGTGTTAATGAAAGTGTATTAAATTACATTTGGAATGTATCCAAATATGAAACACTTCAAATGACAATTGTAAATAGGGCCTTTCAAAACAAACGTTTATTCAAGTGACCTTTTGTGGGATACGTTTTGGTCATATGTTGTGTAACAACAGAGTGCAATGACCAAGAAATATATATATATTTCATCTTTTATCACATACTGCATGTCCAGTAAGCCCACATTAAAGATAGTGCCCTAAACACTTAAGACTCCAGTCTAAAATCTGACTCTGGCTCTCAGTAATGGAGATGACAACAGCGAAAACAGAAAAACAAAAGTTATACAGTATGAGCAACACAATTACATAAAATTACATAAATAATGATCCATAACAGAAAACGTCAATGGATGCCTTCTTAGAAGATTTAAAACACCAATTAAAATCTTACATGACCAATCAGAAATAGAGTTTTTATCCTAGCAGATACTTAATAATAAACACCAGAGGAAAGCATCCCTTGAAGCTTTAATAATAATAATAATAATAATAATAATAATAATATAATAATGAAAAAGGGGGTGTGTACCTGGGGCAGTGGGTGTGTCTCCCTGTGGGCTTGTCACGGGCGACTTGTTATAGCCAAAGGAAGTGAAAAGTGGAAGCAGTGGCTGATGGGAATGTGGTGGAGGAGGAGGCGGTGGAGGCAGGATATGGATCTGATGGAACGTGGTGTCGTTGCCGTTGACTACCGCGTTGGCAGGGGCAACCGTCGCCGGAGGAACCAGCGGTATCTTTTGAAACTGTTGAGTGCAAATGACTGTGCTGGCCAAACCTAGATTACACCCACCGTGACGACACACCGACACACACACAACCAGCCAACAGTGAACCACCGCCACGTTACAGACAAACGACAAAACAGAGAATTACACATAAGAAAAGGGGGGGAAAAAAGGAAAATTAAAAACAAAGGCCGAAGTTACAAAATTAAACAAAGAAAACAAAGGTGGTGAAGGCCGCAGCAGATGTTAAAGGCGGGAGGACAAAGAGAAGACAAGGACAAACCAATATGAAATGTATGGAAAGGTGAAGAGGGAAGTGATTGATGGTGAAAGTGGAGATGGTCTTAGTGATGTAGAAACATTAGCTGATGTTCTAGAGGGACCTTTTTACTCTTTGTAAATGTGTCCACGTGTGTGAATCTTTCAGTATTATTTTGTGACATAGAAAATAACATCTATTCAGTATGTTCTATGGAATGTCATCAGGTAATAGCAGACAACAATATGCTCATGGAACAGGATGTACACAGTATTTGATTTCTTATGCCATACATGTATATCCATTAGTCCTCTCTCAGTAGTTAAATGCCGCTGGTGGCTGTATAACTCATCAGATACATCCCCAAAATAGGATGTTTAGCTCAGCACTCCACACAAGTGTTGCAAATTCATATCAAAATGTCCTCTGTTTGAACATGCTAGTGTTTTGATTTATTAAAATGCTACTTTTACAAGTGGATGTGTAGCTCATATAACGTGAAATAGTGCACTTGGCAAACTAGCTAGCTATCCAGTGTGCTAATAACCTGTTGATTGTTTATAGTGTGTTGTGTCTGAGCAGAGTTTGGTGAACTGACTGTATAACTGACAAGTACATACTATAAATTATTCCTATCTTACACTAAACTGCAAAACCGAAATGGACGTAAGCCTCCTCCACGCAATATAACACAACGCACAGTGAAAAGGATTTTAAAGTAGCCGCAGCTGCTGCTGCTTCTACTGTGTTATCATCACTCCACACTCCTTGCTGTACTAAGCTTTGTGAATCATTGTCAGGAGTCACACAGTCAGAGTCATATAATATAATCAATTTTATGTGAGTTGGCTGCGTAAACTTTACTTACACAAATTAAAGCCAGGCTAGGCATTTTATTTCAAAAGCCTTTTTTGTTATATTTGTTGAAATTCTCTCTGACATCAACTCTCTGACACCAAAATGAAAAATAATCCGGTATCTGTAGCTGTCGCAGGACTTTAAGCATGGGTCAATCATTTAATTGAGTCTGAATGAAATTATGTCTACATGCCTGTCTACATGCGTGTCTGGGAGGGAGTGGGATTTTTTTTTTGTTGGATACTTCCTGTTAGTTTCTCCAATGTTACCTACACCTAGCTTTAAGTTAATGTTAGGTTAGGCTGGGTTTAGGTCCTTACTTGTTAAGCTTGCATAGATGAATGAGGTGAAGGTCTGTTACACTTTCTGCAAGAGCGACAGAATCTAAAAAACTGTGTTGGTGATGCTTTATAGCTATAGTGCATTCAAAATAGTTATGTTTCATGTTAGCAATGTCTACCATTGCCTTTAGAAATTGACATCACACAATTTTACTTCAGTGGGTTCCATTACTTAGCACTTGGCTGTGAAAGTGGGCCAACTTTTTGTCTTACTATAGCCTAAGGCATTCTAGCCACAGTTCTACACAAAAATAGTTATTATTAACTTGGCCTAGCCAAGATAGCTACTGAGGAAGCCCTGATCCACAAGCTGCTACATTGCACTACTCTAGCTTACTATATGTGCTCGAGAAAAATTTGTTGGTACATTAGCTAGTATGAAGAGTAAAAAGAAGGAGCAAGTGAGAGGTACACTACATGTAGAAGAGACTGACTGGGATGGAGGAAAAAAAGACTATTTAAAAATTTATGAAAAACAGTTGAGTAGGTGAAACCTCTTGCTAAAACAGGTGCTGTAGCCCCAAGAGTGTGTGTGGCTGTGCCCTGTTTTGTACTGTACCCACAGCTGCAATATAATTCACTGCATGTAAGGAGAGATCAACACTATCTTTTTTCCTTGATTTGGAGCTGGTTCCATAGTGCTAAATGGACCCTTACAGTATATAAATGACTCAAAGAAGAGAATAATGACCAGAAAAGGCAACTACATGAGAGAAGATCATGAGAAAAACAGAGGTGAGTGACAATTTTGTGATCACGAGGGATGAAGGCAGTTAGAAACAGAGAGACAGGCATAGACAAGTAGACAACACTACAGAGAGACAGACGGATGGACAAACAGAGATACCAGACCTACAGACAGACACCAATAGACCAATAGAGTTAAAAACATCTGAGCCTCTTTGTGACTGCGCAGTGATTCTTTGGGATGATGGGATATATGTGAATTTGCTCCATAAATCTCACCAGAGACTTAAAAAGCTCATTATGGCGATATAAAATCGAAAAATAAGGTTAAAAAAGTATTTGGGAGATTGACACATTGCCTGGTCAGCTTGCCTGTTAAGTAATGAAAAGACAGATATTACACAAAAATTATACCTGTAACCCTGGCAGATCTTTGACTTGGTTCACATACACCTTGTTGTAAGTTTACATGATAAGCAATTCGATGAATATTGTTAGCTTTCTTGCCGCAGGTTAGATAAGAAAATGGATAGCGCTCTCACATCTGTTTGGTTAGTATGATGCTACCTGCTAACAACAGCAGCAGATCAAGTTAGCTTAACGCAAACACTGGAAACAGGTGGAAATAGCTGGCCTGTGCGGTGTTTAACTCTTTAGAGGTGGTTGTTGTAAGATTTGGACAGAGCCTGGCTAACTGTTTCCTCTAGTCTCCAGTCTCTGTGCTAAGATAAGCTAACGGTTTGCTGGCGGCAGCTTCATATTTAGCTTACAGACATGAGAGCGGTGTCAGTCGTCCCATCTAAACCAATAAGCATGTTCCATAAAATGTTCACCTATCCGTTAAAGTCTGCTTTCTGTCTTATATGTTTATATTGAACTGGATAACTGGCAGGTATATTGTTATTCTCTTGAAGTATTTCCAAAATTAAAGCTAGCTACATTATTCATATTGAACTTTTACCAGTTGGTCTTTCTAATTCACATAATTTATTTTTTAAATTCTAGTCTAGCATAGTTAAAATGTGATAGTAGATGAAAGACAAAATGTGTAACAATGCACAAGACATCTACATAACCTCACCCACATAAAACTAGCTTGTACTCTACTCAATATAAATGTGATATATATAGCTTTAGTGAATGATGTAAATAAAAATTAAAAGATTTAAGCTACATTTAAGGCAACTTCAGGACAATTGTAAGGCCCAAATTGAATTTTATGTTTCAAATGATATGGTCATTTTTACGTATCTGCAGAACATGTAAGACAACCTGTTAACATTTTTTATAGCTACACATGTAAACACTCCATTTAACCATTCAGTTGTTTCCAGTGTTTGTGCTAAGCTAAGCTAACTGGCTGCTGGCAGTATAGTTTTATATTTACTGTGAAGACATGAGAGTGGTATCAATCATCTCATCTAATTCTAGGCAAGAAAAAAAATAAGTGAACTCTTATAATTCAACAGGTGATGCTGTGTCATCAAAGAGAACTAAAACACATTATCAGTCAGGGACATGTGGATGATGTAGGTGTCTATATTCTCATTACTTAACAGGCACTTTCACAATCAGGCTGAATTTCTAAAAACTTAGGTGGAGTTGTAGTATAGTTAAAAAATCTGGTAGAAGTACAACTAAATGGATCACAAACACTAAGCTTGGATTACACCTTCATTAATGCAGGGATGACAACTTGGTATTTGGTACCACTGTGCTGCTGTCCCAATCACAAGTGCCTTCTCTCACAGTGTGTGCGATGAAAGAGAAGAAATTCTCTGATTAGATTTTTAGTCTAACCTGTATTCATCCAGGGTAACTAATGAGATGGAAGGGTTAAATGCATTCCTCACAGGTTCATGACAAAGGCTACAAAATTATCCATTGGCTTAGTTTCACCTGTCTTCTTTTTCATCTTTTTTCTATCTATCTGCAAGTGCTTCTTCTGTGTTTAGTTCAAATGTGTGCAATATATTCCTACGACACTTGGCTGACACTTTATCCGGACAGTCAGCTTGGTCATGATTTAATAGCAGCAACACAACACTCTCACATACACACACATAGGAGCGCACACACACCTGTGCGCTTGCTGATGACCTCCACCATGGTGGAAGGGAAGTAGCCCACCCGGTCATTTCCTGTTCTGTTGTCATGGATACAGCCTTTCCAGCGTCCGTCAGGGTGCTGCTCCAAAACCTGTGATGTTTCCAACAGTAATATTGAGTTTCACAAACACATGAATAACATACAATTGGATAAATTGTAAAAAATAAAATAAACTGTTTCTGGAAAAAGCATAATTTGCATAATTTGCAAGAAAGTAACTGCAAAAAGTTACTGAAATGCTTCCAAAAAACTCAAGGAAACATCTTTTTTTGAAGTGAAATTCTTTTTTTCCCCTGTCATACAGAAATGCAAAACTGCATTTGGAGTTGTCTAAAAATCCCTTTGTCAGACAGCAGCAAAGCCTAATTGTTCATTCAAACCCTGAGGGAGGGAGCATAGGCCCTGCTTGGCTTCCTTATTACTGAAGTAAGTTCCCAAAGGCTGCAGAAATATTCATTAATATTCACGAGTGTGGGTGCCCTGCAATGTAGCAAGTGAATGCACGTTTCTGTAAAACATATTCGTAGTAAATGAGGCACACTGAAACCACTCATTCTTGCATATTCATTAGTAATCTCACCAAACTATGGAAATATACAGACAACAAAAGATTTGAGAGACCTGAAAACTAATTCTGAGGGCTAATCAGTCTGCCAGTCATTTAAGAGTGCATAGGCACGTTTAAGAGCAGATTCACATTTGAGTGTGCAATCCCGATCAAGCACGCACTTCTTTCCGAGTCTGCACTCTCGATTTTCTCCAGATGTTTTGGCTTCTGAGCACCTTAGATCGCAAGAAGTAACTTGCTAAACATTTCTGACAATCAAGCTACAACAGGACACAATTCAGATAGAATTTCACATCTCTCCACACTTAATTTTGCATATGATACTGCTCCAGTTATAAAACAGTGGCGCACAACCAACAGCTCCCTCTAGGGACCAGAATGAGGAGTGGCAGGGCTGTGCCTTATCCAAATGAGGTCATGTCTGCCTCTACTCCTTCATCACATGTTGCATGCAGGTGTGAGCAGTTTAATCGAGAAGAGATTTGAACAATATTTTTGGGGCTTCCAGAGGAAAAACTACACAGTGTTTCATAAAAAGGCAAAGATTAGAAAACAAAATTATAAAATATATAACCATAACTCTTTGTTGCAAATTTAGGATTCTTTTCATTATTTTAGACTACAGTAACAACACCTTCTTAATGAATGAAATTAACTAACAAACTAAAAGAAATGTAAAAGCCTCAAACCTCACTACAGTTAACAATCAGAGCTTGGTTAACATCACTTTGAGCTTTGATGGCAAAAAAAAATGCTCGGTTTGTATGTCTGTCCATATGAATAATGAATCTGTTTTTGTGTGTTGACATTGAGAATGGCCATTTTGTGTGTGTGTGTGTGTGTGTGTGTGTGTGTGTGTTACCGTAATGACGTCTCCTGCTTTGATGTTGAGGCTGGTCAGGTCGTAGTTGTTGCAGTAATCCTTCAGAGCCCGAACTTGAAGTGCCGCTGACGCATCTGAGAGACAGTAAATCATACTGTACGTTACAGTAAATGTGCATTATTCTCCATGTGCAATAATACATTTCAACACAACATTACCTCATCATCATGGTATCTTCCCCATTAAGATAATACACACACACATTTCATATTTTGTCTGTTTGGGAAGCATCACTTAGTAGTTTGACATTTTGGGAGATACCCTTCATTCGTTATCTTGCTCTTTTTCCTCTTACAAGAGGATACATCCTTTCAAGCTTGACTCCTCTACCTCCTCCCCTCCCTTCATCCATCCACCCTTCCTACCCCTCAGCAGCTGTTTGATCTCTCTGCTGGCTTGTGTTGCAGTGAACTGGTAGACGATGTCCAGCGCAGTCTGGCTGTAGGTGTTTCTCACCGTGGCGTTGATACCACTCTGTAGAGGAGAGGAGAAGATTGGCATGTTGACTATTTCATTTTATTTTTGTATTACGCAGACACAGCAGGAAAACGTGAAGTGAAAACAGACAAGAGGGTTTATTATTCTGTTATTGTTTGTATCAAAAACCAAACTTTCCTTTGTTATAATATCTTACTAATTATTACATGGTATCATATGTTCCTGTTTGTACAAGAAAAATCAAAACACACAGTATCCATTTACTTAAAATGCATAAATTAGTCTCTTCATACTAATTAAACTCATTAGTTGTGTAATAATTTACCATCATGATGTCTACAGACATCATGCGTGATCCCTGCAGCTGCTCTACCAATCCCAACAACCTCTTATTTTTAAACTTAAACAGGCAAAAGCTGAGGAGCAATATCACATTCAAATCTTTTGAATCAAAAGTAGGCCGAAGAACAAAGATGAAACAGTCTGAAGAGGCTTCGGGGCAAAAACTCATAACCTTTCACAGCCTGGGGTCTAAATGACAATGTTAGTTTGTCATGCAGGAACACACACGGTCATTAAAACATATTGCCTCTCTTGTTTTCATGAACCCCTGTGGCATTTTGATGTCACCAGCACAAAGGAGTAATTACCACCATCTTTTTTTTGCATTGCGCTTTTGCACCATTTTTCATAACTGTGCCTCAACTTCCTCACATGGGGATGAAGGGATTTTCCAAACCCTTTCATAAATAGGCAACAGACCTCAGACCCCCACTACATTTAACGGATTTAACACTTCCCAAGGAACCCTATAACATTATAGTCACAATGATGAGACTGTCTGTTACAATAGGAAGGATCAAACAGGGTCTTTCAATGACTTACGTACTGGGTACAACTTACGTAAAAATCTAGTCATAGAAACAAGTCAGTCTTTTCCAGGATTTTACATATTGTCATTCTTTACACTTAATGTAAAGTTTATTTAATTAACAATTACAGTCCATTTGGTGGCTTTCTTGCTAGCAGTAACAAGTAGCAAGTATCTTAAAGATTAAAAAGACTGTGCTTTTGAATAAATATTAGTAACTGATGTGGTTTTTCCACAAATGAAGTTCAATTATCTAGCTCAAAATTCTTAAAATGTATTTGATAATCCCTTTGCAATATGAAAAAAGTTTGAAAAACAAACCTAAAAAATGTCCCTTTTGCCAGAGCAAACCAGATTTGGTTTAGGCCTTAAGGAATTTAATTTGAATTGATGGTCGTTGTCTGGTTTTCCCAAATACTTTTCCAATTTTCCACAGTTACCTTCAGGCCCAGTTTCCTCTCCCACTCACAGAGCAGTCAAGTCATTTTGGCTGTTCAGTATTCTATTGCAGTCATAGATGTTTGTTATCTTTAATCCTATATACACCTCAGTGATGGAAGAAGTACTCACTACAGATAAAAAGCATTAATTTAAAATTCTACTTTGTTGCTATATTATCTTTTTATTATTTTTAGATTTTTAATACTGATAAATCATTGTGTAAGTACCATTTAACTGTTGTAGCTGGGGGTCAGGGCCTTCCAAAGAGTCACAAGATAAATCTCAAAGGTTGTTAGATGATTAATGGGAGAGGAAAAAAGAGAAAAAGATCAGCTCTGCTGCTCAAATTTGTATCATGTTTTAGAATATTTTCTCTATGCTTTTTTTGTGACATATTAGAGACTCTTTGGGCCTTGAACCATTATTTCAATGAAACAGTATATTATGTAAAGTTAACAGTGCGTAACAGTACATATGCAAAGGAAAACGGTTGAACTGCAAACTCATAGACATCTGAAAAATGATAAGAAGCCTGATTGGTTATGGTGGTCACGAGCAAAAAAGGTTGTGAACCACTGGTTTAATCTTTATGCATTTTATTTATTAATGTATTTTCTAAGATTATCAGATGTGTTTATCTAGTGGAGTAAAAAGTAGAACATTCCCTTCTGAAATTAAGTGCAGTTGATGTATAAAGTATTTGATTGTAAACTACTTACTCAACAGTAACTCAACAATGTACTTAAGTATAGCACGTGAGTCAAAGTACTTAATTTCCCTCTGCCAAGAATCAGAAATACAAATTATAGTTGTCTTTCTTTTGCTGGTTAACCATTTTGCACTGCAGGGATTTGTGATGTAACTTGAATAACCCTTTACATTTGTCTTTGGTATGGAAAACATCTTCCACAGTTTACTCGTCCATTACAGAAAACAGAAAATCTATTTGTTTTATTGTAATTTTATGTAAATAGAAAAACCCTCCCCTTTTTATGTCACAACAAGTGTTACTGTCACAGATATTTTACAGTAGTGGAGGCAGTTAAATTCAAGGGAGGATTCATCCTTGTAGTGTTCATACGCCTTATGCTGGACAGTCGTTATGAGATTGTAATTGTCCTTTAAGTGAGCTCAAACCTGGTTTGGCAGTTCTAGAAAGTTTTCAGTAAAGTTCCACTTACGTCCAGCAGGAGTCTCACTGCCTCAGTCTTTCCACATAGGGCAGCTTCATGCAGGGCAGTGCCCGCTTTGGTCTGTCTGTTGATGTCGATACCCGCCTGGATCAACAGTCTGACAGCAGAAGAAGGGGAAAGTGAGTAAGGAAAGGAAGTGGGAAGAGTAGTGGGAGATGACAGAGCGGGGGGTGGGGTGGGGGGATGAAATTCAGAGGGAAAACAGTGTGAAGAATTGCAAAGGAGAGAGTATGAGGAGGTGCGAGGGTGAGAAAGTCAAGAGAGGTGTGAAAAGAAATACAGATGGAGACATGCAAGGAAGCAGAGAGAAGAGGAGTTGAATGAGGTGGGGTTGAGTAGGAGATGCAGAAAAGCGAGGAAAAAGAGAAAAAACATCTTTAACATGAAACACCAACGCAACTTACTAGACAAAAATGACCTGAGAAAGAGAGAATAATAAAGTGAAACCGTGGTATACTGCACCTGATTTAAAGGATTAGGCCGCCATTCATCTATATTTCTCTTATTATCAACAAATCTCATGACATGAACACTCTGACTTCTCTACCGCTCTGCGATTACCAGCCCCAAGTCCAATGTTCATCCAGAAAGCGCTCAGTCATTTCCCCAAACAGCTGAGCAATTTTAGCTTTTAGCAAATGCTATTCAAGCAGGTACAAATAGTGCATATACTGGGGACTACTTTCAGCTGCGGATTAACACATTTGGTGAGTTAGTGAGTATTCACAAAACCAACACGGTGTATATACAGGCTCGAGTCAAAGTGTTCATCATAATTAAGTAATGATGCCTTCCTACTTCTGCACTTACATCTCATCTCAATGAGACCCTTAATTAGATTGAAATGATTGTGCTACAGAGTGAACACACAACCCTCCGATTAAAAGGCCGCACACTGCTGACTAAGCTTACCGGTCTCTCCAACTAACACAGCATTAATAACACTAAAACAACATGACAATGGCAGAGTTACTGCTAGATATTCAGCGAGTCCTTAGTGTTATAGAATATTCTTAGGGGCCTTAATTGATGTAACAGGGAAAGGTAAGACAGGTCTAGCTTGGAGACATTAGCTGACACCAAGTTCACTGACCTTCCTCTCTAGTTATTTCTCCCATGTAACTGTGCTCGTTAGGGAGACAACAGTTAAACTAATAAGGTAGAGACAGTAGCTCAGGAGTCAGGCTAGGAGATGTCACTGTTCTCTGGGAATCTAACAAGGTTGAGTCTTACGAGAATGTTTACAAGAATTTACTGGCTCCACAGATTAGATTACAACTCATGGATAGTAATAGATTCCAATATGACGAAGCATCGGAGTCTAAACATCAGATAGATTTGTTGTTCTTGATTAAGGCCAGCTAGAAATGACCTAATAGGGAAATCTACAGGCAGTAGGGGGAAGACAGAAACATAAAAGGGACCAAAAGATGTTATCCTTCAGATTTGGTGTTGGCATTTGATGTGTTCACGTGTTGTTTGCTGGCACTGTATCTCCTCAGCCGGGCGCAATAAACCATGCTATGTTAAGTCATCAGTCTCCCAAACTTCTTCACACCTGAACCTGCCTCACAATAATTCTTCAACACTTCAGCACAAACAATTAAACTCTTTCAACTCTGTTTCAACACATCATTTCTAACATATATCAAACCTGCATAATGACAATAACTCCATTTCGACAATTCACTACCACATTGGAGCCCATAAGCCTGCTGCAGAGCGGTTCTCTAGTATATTTATTAATTCTGAACGTGTTGCATGTTCAAATTTCACCAAACTTGACACTGCACTCCCTTTGCTCTGCAGCAACAAACCCGCCACGTTTGAAGTCGACTGGATGAATGGTTCCTGACATAATCAAAATACAAACACACCCACATACACACACAGATTCCCCTTTTAGAGATTAGAGATATGTCTTTTCTGGCCTTCATCATAAAATAATCAGCTTATAATATATAAATATTGTGAAAACACTATTTATATCATCACATTTCAGACTCACTCCATTGTCTGAAAATAGAAAAACATCAAATGAACGTCTATACTGTGAAACGGCTGCGTTAAAACACCTGCCCTTCTCCCTCACTCCAACACTAGTTTTGCTGTGTGTGTGTGTGTGTGTGTGTGTGTGTGTGTGTGTGCGTGTGTGAGAAGACAAAGTTGAATACCAACATTCATATACATTCACAAGTGAATTTCACGCCTCAGAAATGTGAGCTGCTCCGTCAAAAACAGCCCTGAAGTACAAAGATAGTAATAATGGGGAAAGGTTTAAGTAAAAAGGAGAAGAAAACTGTCCCATTTTCCAACTTCCTTGATGTTGTCTTTAAAATCATCAAAGTCCACCACTCCAACATTAGTTGTAGTTCATTAGTAGTTACATTTTTGAGGAGGTGCACATCGGCTACGGCTTAACCTACAACATAGTTTTGTTGGCTAAGTGCAAAGCCTCTATAGCTTTGGTGTCATTTCTTAATGTACATCTATAAATCAAGTTTCAAGTAGGCCGTCCAGCCAAATTCAAGGGGCTTTAATCAGGGAGAGTTACCAAGAAGCCAATGGCCATTTTAACAAAACTTTAGAAATTGCAGAACCTGTCGAAAGGACAACTATCTCACAAGCACCCCATTAGTCAGGCCCTTATGGTCGAGTGGCTGTGGAAGCTAACTCCTGAGTAAAAGGCATATGACGTTTGCCAAAAGCCACGTAAATTACTCTCTGAGCTTGAGGCAAGTGAAGTTTATTTGTAAAGCACATTTCAACAAGGCAATTTAATTAGATTTATGTGCATAAAAGGCATTCAGACAAAATGTAAAAGCAACATATGGCAAGAACAAAAACACATTTAAATCCAATTAAAGAGTTAAATAGAGGAGAGTAACAGTTGCAGTGCAGTGTGAGATATTAATCGAAAGCCTCAAATTAGATTTGAGGAAAAACATTCTGAACTTCCTAACATGTAAAGGTAAGATGTTGACCATGGTTAACATTAAACATCAGCATGTTCACATTGTCATTGTGAGCATGTCAGCATGGTTTTTTAGCTCAAAGCACAGATAAAGTGCAGCCTTCCAGAGCTGCTAGCACGGTTGTAGAGGACTGAGATGCTTGACTGTGGGGTCTGTTCATTGCTGGTTTTTTAATGGGATTTGTTGACAGTTAGTGTAGAATATCATCAGCCGTATACTTTAACTGACAGGGCCACAGATAAGGACGTTGAAAGAAAACAAAGCTGTGAAACACACATTTAATTTTCCTCTAACTTCTACCGAATTACAGTCAGAGTCTGCATGTGTGCATGTTTAGGGAGTGTGAGACTTTCACAGACTGCTGGCCATGCTTAATGAGCATCATTTATCAGTGTCACTTCTAGAGAGGCACGCTCTGCTCTATCAGCTCTGACAGGCTTTATTCTCACTTTGTCTCTCTCTGTTTTGAACCTCTCGCTTTCTCTCTGTTTATTTTTCCACCCCTCTCTCTCCTCTTCTCTCTTATCATCCCTCGGCCGCAATCTGCTCCCATCTCTTAGTGTCTCTCTCCTTCGCTCCGCCTCCCTGTCTGCGTCTGCCAGGCGAGCAAACTTCTGCACCACACACACACACACACACACACACACACATATGCTAGCCCTGGGTTACTTAAAAGTGGCTGGGAGTGATGAGAGGAAATATAGACTTTGTGGTGTGTGTTTATTTGCAGCGGGGCACCATTCTGCTGGGATCTTTCATCCCGACGCTCTTTTGCTGAATGCTGACATCACCACTGCAACAAAAGTCACTTTGCCATGATGCTCTTTTGGCAAAACATAAACAAAAATTAGACGCACATCCTCGTCGAGATGAGATTATAATGACATGACATTTAGAGTGCCATGCAGTTCTGCAGTAATCACATCAACTCAGTCTCCAAAATATATTTAGGAGTATCTAACTGATGTATCAACTGTTTGTTGCATTATTATTATTTTATTATTTTTCCTTCAGCTAATTAGATCATATTGTTACCCTGTTGTTATGTACAAGTTTTCTCAGCAAGCTCAGGAAAACATTTAAACCCAGTGATTCATTAAAAGTTCTGTGTGGATGGATCTGTTTGTAGAAGGGTGTGTGTGTACCTGATGATGTCTATGTGTCCGTTCTTGGCGGCCAGGTGGAGAGGAGACGTCCCATTGGGGTCGGTGGTGTCTCCTTTTTTGGGCTCCAGCAAAGCAGCACACATGTTACTGGACAGCAACAACTGGACCACCTACACACACATATACATGGAACACAAGAAAAGCATTTGGTCACTTCTGTAAATTGTCTTCAGTTGCTGCTGTTTTTGAATAATTACTAAAACCACAGGTTCTTACCCCAACTCTGCCGAACTCACAGGCCAGGTCCAGAGGTGTTTTCCCAGCGTTATCCACAATACATGGGTTGGACTGATGCTGCAGCAGCATCTCCGACTGGAGACAGGAAACACACACAGGCAAAAAAAAAAAAAAAAGTTTGAGGTAGAGCACACCCTGGAAATGTCTATCATAAGATAAACAACCATTCACACTCGCACCTACATGCTGTTCAGAATCACCAATTAACCTTCAACCCTAACCAATCATGGCTTATCAACCACTTCTTGGCCGAGCGATGTAGAGCCAAAGTTATGACGTCCCATCGGCACTAACCCCCGTTCTACTAAAAAAAACTACAGGCACAGCAGCACAGGTACTTCCTCATAATTTGGTTTCATTTATACCCCTAAAACTCACTAACCATTGAACGATTTGATTGAAAATCTAGCAGCAGAGTGTAAGGTTCTTCATTGGATTTGAGGAAGTTAACTCTTCAGCACCCCAAATGTTATCTGAGATAGTTTGCCAGAGATATAGTCTGTCTTGCTTGTCCAAGCTTGCTGCCAGTAAAGGATCAAAATAACGGCCTGATCTGAAAATTTTTCCCTATTAACTTACAATACTAGCACTACATGAAAAATGTTTTTTTTATTTCCATGCATCGTCATCAGCAAGAGGCAGCGGTCCATCAGGACCAAAACCTCTCGCCACTAAAACAGCTTCAAATAATACAAATGTGTCTGCACATGTAAATCTACGTGTAGCACCTCACCACCAAAGCAAATTCCTTTGTAAAACACCACTTGGCAATAAAGCTCCTTCTGATTCTGCTTCTGATTCTGACCTTGTGAAGATGCTCACTTTTTGCCAGAGACGTAGCTTTAGCCTCAGTCTTTCAGCAGATTTCTGATACTATAGGCTATGTAGCATATTTAATACCCCTATTTACAAGATTAAACTAGTCAGCTGGAGATGGTGTTTTCAACAAACTAATGGAGCTCACGTTAGCTTAATTAGCTAGCTTGATACAATTGATAAAATCTGTTAGTGTTAGTCATCATTTCAGCCCACAGAAATAACCACGGTCACCAGCTAAATATAAGAAGCCTGTTAAAATGCAAATGTGCTGTGTGAGAATGGAAAGCTTAACAGCCCCACCCCTAACCCCTAACCCTAACTAACAGGGATGGGGGCATAGTAAACAGCTAACATGCATTTCTCTGGACTTGAGGGCACGACGAAGAAACCCACACCGGGGATACAAACGCCCCACAGAAAGGGCCCAGCCATCAGGCAGGTTTGAACCCACAACAACCCTTGTTGCTGTGAGGCAACTGAGCGAACCACTGCCGCACATGTTCAAAAAATTGCAAGGGTAAAAAGACACAATTATGCAATGCATACACAAGCACAAACAGTTACAAAGACACACACAATCCATGAAACACACATGCTTACTCAGAAAACATGTCACGCTGTGTTAATAATGATGTCCTCAAAAAAGCCGGGCTGAGCAGACAAACACAAATGCTTGAATATTTATGTTTGATCAGGTCTTTTTAACATTATTGTACAATAATTCAGAACACCGATACAATGTTTTGTAAGCCTGTTGTAATGTTAAATACGTACTTTTCGCTTGTGTTTGCTGAGAAAAAAAATCACAATATGGTAAAGACTCAGAGTTAAAGAGAGTCATCTCAGTAGGCACGGCAGATTGTCCCTAAAAAAATGACCTTAGGGGAGCACTGTGACATCAAGTGAAAGGAAAGGGTTGGTTAAAGTGGTGGAATATTCTCTGACGGGGGGGGATGAGGAATTAGTTCATAGTGCTTTCAGTTTTCTATTGAACCTTCAAAATGGAACAAATCAGGAGAATACGCCAAATTAGATTCCCTCTTCTCAGACAAAAACATTGTCTCGTCATCCTTGTTCTAACGCAAATGTCTCTGAAATCGTCTCTGTGCCTTGCGTTTGCCTTGCTGGATGTTAAATGATTCATTTTTTAATCTACGGTCCGTTTCAGCTTTTGTAATTCTTTATTTATTTGCCCTTGGACACTGGGAGCCGCTGTGGATTAGAGCTTCAGCCCCAGTTTGTTACCCTGTATAAATCATGGTTATTTAATCAAATAGAAGCAGTGGTTCCTTAGTTTCCAGCCTGTAAATGCTGAGCGCTGCTCTCCTCCAGGGTATGTCAGCTGCTGTAGTGAGTCTGCTATATTTCATTGTTGTTGCTTTGGCGAGCCTGCAGAAGCAATGCAGTGTTTACAGCAGATTTTCTTTTCGTAGAGCCCTGAAGATGGAATTTTCTTTAGCTGCTGTGTTTTATTTTGTTTCTTTACTCATCTTTCATGTATACTTTTTCACAGTTTTGACACAGGATATCACAGAAAATGGGCACTTCATGGTAGTGGCCATTGCACTGCAGTATTGCCTACAGTAGATGAATGTAATATGCTGGTGATATTACAGATGGATAAGAACAAGACATTATATACATAAATGTTTAAGTAAAGGTTAGCCTGATTCCAAATCTATTCAAATTCAAATACGGCTGCTGTTATGCCAGGCCTTTTTCACTGCAGACATTTAGACTTGTCACAGCAGGTAAAACACAGATGTAATAATACTGGTGACTGCTTTTAGGCAAAGTAAGTGAAAACACCTACATGGGTGGACTACAGGTGTGTAGGAGCATTAAGAATGGTGATGTCATCCTCTTACATAGCTATGTAGCTATGTAGCTACATTTACAAAAAATAGCGACAGGGAAAAGTGTGGATTAACTTGTGGTACGTCCACACCGAGCTCAAATCAGTATGTGTCTCTATCAGTGTGAAAATCTTTAAGTCAGCTGTTCCTTTTTGTGTCAACTGAAAATGAGGAAACATGAACATGATGTCAGTGGAGTGGAGAAAAATTTGAAGATTCTGAAGCTATGGTAACCTTATAATAACGGGTGTGAACGCTGACATATTAGCACCTTTTAAAATAACGTGGCGAACATGTAAGCAAACAGTTGTCTATTTACACATCCGGCAGACATGGAGAAAAATTAGCATTCATTTGGAGTCGTGTTTCTGGCAACATGACAAATGTAAGTGAGATAAACACTCTTTTTTAGCTCCGTTTTTGGTCTCCACCATCTCTTGAGGGAAGACTCGGTCAAACTGAACAAAAACAGTAAAGTTGTCAGGCCAGAATACCAAAACAATGAGCCGAAAGTTGCTTTAAAAGCTCTGTAAAACCGAGAGGAACAGCAGAGGTGATAATTCTATGTGGGTACGTGACTATGAGTGACCCCTTTCACATTACATTATTGTCATCATATCCATTGTTATGATTAAACCTTTGATTATAGATACTTTAAAGTTAAAGACGCTAAAGACAATAAATTCTTTTAGCCTCTGTGACAGCCCATGCTGCTATTTCAGATCTAAAGGATGCTAAAATACATACACAGTATAAATACTAATTGATGCCTCTGCGATGTGAATCACGTGTAGTTAGTACATAAAAAACCTCCCTTCACCTCCACTTTGAGCTCTGTTTCTGGAGGCATCGGTATCACTCACCACATCATAGTGGCCGTGCTGCGCTGACAGGTGGAGAGGAATCTGTCCTTCATCTGATTGGCCGTTGACAGATGAACCGGATTTCAGCAGCATCTTCATAGGCTCTGCCTTCCCCTGCCAGGCTGCGTAGTGCAGCGGCCTCATACCTGCACACACAGAAAAACACACATTCACAGTGTGAACACACAGGCCATACTGATCACACACATATACAGAATTAATATATAGCTTAAATGTTTGAATTCAATGTTCTCACCCTGGTGTTATTATTGTTATTAGCATATACACACAGGTCTGAAATACACACACATGCACATGCAACAACACACGGAGAGATGTCATGGGGAGTGATGGGGATGCCACTGCGGCGCCCCGAGCAGTTGGGGGTTCAGGGTCCTGCTTAAGGTCACCTTTGGCAGTGCCCATGAGGTGAACTGGCACCTCTCCAGCTACTAGTCCACAACTCTGGTACGAGCTGGATTCAAACTGGCGACCCTCTGGTTCCCAGCCGCCCCAATGAAAGATGTATGGTGTTATTGATCGTTGAGTATTTATGTGGAAGCGGGTGACAGTATTTTCTGTAGGTGCAAAGCTCACTTAAAGAAAGCGTATATATATAATGTATATGTTTTTCTGCGTTTATGTGTTGATGTGTTTATGCGTGTGTGTGTGTGTGTGTATCCCCCTCACCTTTCTGGTCTCTGATGTCGACAGCAGCCTGTGACTCCAGTAGCAGAGTGATGAGCTCCAGGTTCCCATTGAGCGCCGCATGATGCAGTGGAGAAAACCTACAGCACACACACACACACACACAAACACACACACATCATGGTTACATTTGTGAATGAAACTTATTTTCCAGCTCATTACCTCGTCCTTTATATTTATGTAATCTGTATGACAGACACCAATTTCATTGTTGTTAAGGTATTTCAACCAATCAACAACATGTAACAACCATGTAAAAACTAAAACCACACGCAGGCATACACACGCACATACATGTCAGTGTTAATGGAAAAGCTTGGCATGACAAAAAGATTTAATAGCAGAGGATTAGGACCAAGGACCTGAGATCAGAAAAACAGAGTATATGGGGAGAGATGGGATGGTGGGACATGAAAAAGCATACACAAAAGAAAAGGTATTATTTCATGTAAAGAATACCCTGTGTGTGTGTGTGTGTGTGTGTGTGTGTGTGTGTGTGTGTGTGAGTGCGCGCGCATATCTGTGAGGCCAGAGGGTGCATGCTGAGTGGATGAGACTGATATGTCAGCCTAGATGGATAAGCATGAGAAAGGGTATAAGAAGGAGAAAGCATCACATAACCTGAGGACATAAATGTACACAAACACACACACAAAATGCCTTTGTGTGTTTCTAACACGCACACCTTCCATCTCACTCATATCAACAGTGTCATGTATTTCCTTCCTCCTCTCTGTGACTGTCCTTCTTCTCTCTGGAGAATTCCTGTTTGCTGTCAAACACTATCAGAGACAGCTTTATGAGGGGTTCTGACCTTGGAATATATGACCCATGAAACTAAGGTGGCAAGCAAGTTCACATAAACAGTCAGAAGTGCAATGGATGGGGTGTTTGTCAAGATTTGCTGCAGGCTGATGATTTAAACAGCAGGCCAGGAGATAAAAAATCTACATCGTGTTTGTTTGATTAGGAATGAAGCTCCATAGAGAAACCTGAGCATGCTGACCAGGAACTTTTGTTTAGGTAAAAATGAGCAACAGAGTCATCTACATGTTACATACAGAATTAATAAATGTTAAATGTTTTTTAATGATATTTACCAAAAAACATTTGCATTAGGCTGAACACTGGCAAGCCACTTGCATGGCTTAAAAAATAAATGTATGTATAATTAAATGTGTGGGCTTGATAACTTGATTCAGCTGCATGACACATCAGTCAACCTCATGCAATCCAATTCATCATTTTACAGTGCCTGTATTAGAGCTGCGCCTTGCAATTATTGTGCATGCATTGTGCTAATTGCACAGGCAGAGATGATGAACGTTGGCGTTGGGCACATCTCCTTTCAACGCATTTACGATTTATCTTCCCTTCCAGTGTCCAACCTTTCAACTCCCCCTCCTGCTAACGTCCATATCTTCACATGTGGGGAAAATCTCTCTTTTTTCCCTGTAATGTCACCCACTGTTGGGAAATATTCTGTAGCGATACTGCATGAATATATTTTGTAAATATAGCTCTAGTAGTTTTATACAAATTTGACAAAATATACCCAATTTGCATTTACACAGCTTGTTTTAACATAACTTCACACTGAGTAGTGGGGGAACCAATGAGCATTATCTGAGGGGCTCTATCTGAAGGCTAGTCTGGCTGTTCCCCCCAGTTTCCAGTATTTGTGCTAAGCTAAGCTAAATGACTGCTGGCTCTAACTACATGTCCAGACATGAGAGTGTTATATTCTCATCTAACTCTGGGTAAGAACGTGAATAAGTGTATTTCCACACATGTCAAACTATTCTTTTAAACCAATTAAACCCTGTTTAAACAAGTGCAGATTCTACAGTGTTGTAACAACAGATAGCACAGTAACTTCACTTCCTGATGGCTAAACGACAGACTTTCATTTGTCTCAATGATCCTCATTTGAGAATATACTTTAGTGTGTCTCTGCTTTTGGTTCAGGAAGAGTGAAGAGAGAGAAACCTAATAAAATAAAAGTCACTTTCTCTCTGACTTAAACCTTCTAGTGAATGAATGATAAATCATACTGATGCAATTAAATAATACTTCAAACCAGGCCACAGTGTGCAGCTGTGAAATTGATATCATATTTTATAGAATACATTCCTGAGGTAGCCAAAATCTCATATTTTTATATGATGTGGTTTATATCATTCAATCGAAATGTGAAATGCATTCATAGGTTATTAAAATGGTTGTATACAGGTATCCAAAATGCTCCATATTTGTATAGCAGAAACAAACATTCACACACATTCATACACTAGCGGAACAGCCGGGGTTCAGTATCTTGCCCAAGGACACTTCGACGTGCAGCCTCGGGGAGCCAGGATTGAACTGCCGACCTTCCGATTAACAGCCAACCCGCTCTACCTCCTGAGCCACAGCCACCCCAAAAGCAGGTACACAGCAAATTGAAGTCAACAGGCTAAAAGATTGAAACATGGTGTCCAAATCATTTCAACTGAAATCAAGGATCTGTTGTGATCATGAGGTATCTGTCACCATTATCAATGCAAACTGCAAATGTGGTAACAAAGTTATCTGGACTGCCATCAAATTCAGGGGGCAGGTGTATGTTTTTGGTGGTGTGTACTCTAGTTTCTGGTTAACGCTCAACCCAGTATTGTGCTTTTTTTATTGAACACTGAATGTTCTGTAACCATGGAGACTGTGCCAGCTTTGCTACCATTGGCAAGTGGCACGTGTGCCTGTCAGCTTGCAAGCTATCAACTTCCTAAGTGTGAATTATTTTGTGAGAAAGCTAAGCTTATTTTCAAGATAGTACTGGATATAGGAGTCTCACTCGCTCTGTGTGTTTGAGTGAGTGTGGAGCGGCATACTAAAGAGGGCTGCACTCCCAGAGTGACCTGCTCTAGTTTTTCCACTACAGATCACCCATCGCTCCTTCCCTCTTCTCCTCCGTCTCTGTCTACCTGCACGTCTTTGGTACTCCTATTCTGTTTTGACTGTTATATTATTTTCCTCCCTGCTATTATCTTCCACATGTCCTTTTCTCCATCCCTTTTTATTTTACTCTCTAAAGTTTCACTATGAAGACTACTACTACTTATAATAATATATACTAATACATACTATTTTATCAGTTTTTAGACCTTTTCTTTTCTTTTTGTTTGTGTTTTATTAATGTTAGATTTTCATGTATTTTACGCACTTGTATTTTACTATGCCCCCATGCCTTCAACATAAGTAAAAATATTATACCATTCTAAATAACATGTAGGTAACACAGAAACATTGAACTCTAACAGATATTTTGCAGTTATACAGCTATATTATATTATATTATATTATATTTTATTGGGTTATAATTTGAAATGCAAGCATCAATTCAATGTTGTAGCTGGTCAGGGTGAAACATTTAACTATTATAGCAGCAAATAAATAGTTTTACATATATATGTTTTGTATGCAAAATCATTAGCTGCAAAGTAACTAGTAACAAAAGCTGTACAGTACAGTACAGAACCTGAATAAATGTACTTAGTGATTTTCTACAGCTGCCGCTTTTTCACAGACCAAGACCTGTTGAGGTAACAGTGTTCTCTTAGACATCAGGGCCTGTATTTATCAAGCTTCTCAGAATTACTGATACTAACAATTGACTTAAGAGTAAAAAAGTTCTTGGCTCAAAGTTGCGCTTAAGTTAGTTATCAAGCATCTCTGTCCTAATTTGAGTGAAGTGTAGGATTAATTCTTAAGTGTCAGCCTTAGAGCTGATTCACAACACTTTGCTGTGCTTCAAACAGGATTTTGGGTGACGATGTAGGCAAGGACCAATCACTGAACAGATTTCCTTCTTTGAGAATATTCTCAGATAAATTCACATTGAATGGTGAAATTTCTAAGAGGAGCTTACATTTAGCACACATTTGACAATTAAGAATTTTTAAGAGAATACATTATGTACATAGGCTACATACACATTGGAAATGAAAGATAAGGAAGTTGATCTTTATATGAGCCCCGCAACCCTGTACGCAGGATAAGCGGTTGACGATTGGATGGATGGATGGGTCTTTATATGAGCGGTAACAATTGCACCTGCTCCTGGGAAACCGGGTATTTAATAATAATAATAATAATAATAATAATAATAATAATATTTGGTAACACTTTCTATGAAGGTCATCGCTATAATGACTTATGCATATATTTATAACGATAACGATATAATGCGTTCATAAGACATTATAACAGTTGTTATAATCACTTACAAACATGCATAAGGCGCTATAGCAAAGTTCATAACGTATTATGACCTTTTGATTTAATGTTTTATAACTAATAGTAATACCAGTTTATATCAATTTGCAGCAAGAATCTCCGACCATATAACCACCGACTCTGCCTCGTTATAAATACACTTTAGTCACCATTTACAATTAGTGATATAAAATGGAATAATAGCTTATAGTAATGTTTAAAGTTATATAGCATGTCTTTGTTTGCTTTAAGTAAAGTTACACATTTTGCGCAGGAAAACACCTTTTATTTATGTTTCTTCACTTTATGAACAATCTGTATGAATTTTGAACATTTTGCAGTTTAGCACAAAAACACAACATAATTACATCAAGGACACTCATTGTCAGGGTGGTAAAGGTTGCTCAAGAGAAGACCTGTTGCCGACCAACATCATGTAAGAAGAGGCTCAGATGTTGTCACAGATGAATGGAGAGCCTATGGACAGGCCCTAACAGATGCAGTGGACAATTAAAGACAACATCAGAGACATTATATCATGTTATAAATATATGCATAAGTCATTATAGAGATGACCTTCATAGAAAGTGTTACCTAATGTTTTTATAGCGCCTTTCATGGGACCCAATGACGCTTTACACATAATTACAAAGACAGAACAATAAAAGTCAGTCGGGGTTGAATGCCTTTGAGAAGAGGTGGTTTTAGGAGGTTTTTGAAGGTGTCCAGAGAGGGAGCATTTCGGATCTCTGAGGGGATGAGTTCCAGAGGGTGGGGGCTGCGACGCTGAAGGCTCTGTCCTCAAAGTCCCCAGTCTGGTGTGATG